GTCGTAAAGTATTAGGGTGTATTGGAGTCGAGGAGACTTACATCACAGGGAAAAAAATTGTTTCTAACCCATTAAAGTATTTTTATAGGCTATTAATTTGGGTATTGAAGTCTAATCTATAAATCTTTTATATTCTAATATTCATTATACTTCACTTGGTAACTGGTTGGACAGACGCTCATCGAAGCGGGTTGAGTAATTGGCAGTTCATGGTCAGGAACTTCACTAATATTGCTCCTAATTGCCCAATAGTTTCTGTCATGTTCAATGATGTTCCTTGATATTGCCAATAAAACTTGAACGACTCACAAAAAGAAACCCTTATTACCCGACTTGTTCCTCTAAATGAGCTTGATTATTGTTGAATCGGAATTGGTTGACAAGTGCGCCTTTATTTAATCTAATGTGAAACGGTATCCCTAACTAGATTTTGAGAAAGTGGTGTTTTAATACCTACTAATTGGAAACGTTAGAGTTATGGATCGAGTCCTGTCGCTCTAAAATAAAAACATTATTAAGTAATAATAAAGAAGTTGGCAGTAACAAATCTGCCAAAGCTTAAATAAATTAAATAGTAAAAAAATTAAATTAAATTTTTTACTCCGAGTAATGAGTAAGGGGTATCTCATGGTTACTGGGACTAGACTGTGCTACTCTTTCCGTTTGTCAAGAATCGAGTGCTTGGTATCTGGTAGTCGGGTGCAGCGTGCCCGCCTGTTCTGTTATGTTTTTTATTATGTAGCCCACACACGCACAGCTCGAAAGAGAGTCGAGACCGAGACCGAAGGCGCCATAACTGCCAACACGTGTCAAAATGAAGTGAGTCAATGGGGAGGCGGCGCCGCGTGGGAAATAGTAAGGGGTGGCAGGGCAATGGGTGAAGGGTGCTCAACGACCCTGACCTAGGCAAATCGTTTTGAGTGTCAAAGGCTGGGCCTGATGTCGGACATATGCAAATGTGACGTGGAGGGAACCAGAGCCGGAGGACAGGACAAAATCCTTGCCTGAGGGTAAGCGGCACAAATGTTGTTGCATATTTAAAGGGGTTTTAAGTTTATTGTAAAGCCGACCTCTTTTTTCACACCACACCCCCTCCCGCTGTGGGAAAGTACAATATTTACACTTTTAGAATTTATTTGAACACGTTTTTGCATTTGCCTGACCCAATAGTCTGGCACCGACCAGCAGCTGTCATGCTGTGACAACATTTTATCAGCTTGTCGGGCACTTTTCCCGCCTTTCCTGCTTTTCCCGCCCTTCGTTCTCTGCCTGGTTTTCATGTTAGTAGAAATCAAACCGAAACTGTAAATGATTTACAGCTGCGAGAGCCGAGAGTCCTTCGATCGATGCTCATTCAATTAGCCGGACCCCCTTTTTGATGGCCCATTTGTGCCAGTTTATGGCCTGGTTTAGGGTTACTCCGAAACCCTTTCAAGCTGTTGTCGGTCGACCGTTTCGAACATAAAGTAAAAACTTACGATAGTGTTCGGTTGCTTCGATTGGGCTCTGATTAGACATAAGTGCCAGGAAAACTTTCTAGCTGCTGAGGTATTCCCCGCAATCAGCAGGAGCTGTTCAAACGCTTACGCAATCAAAACAAAGCACTAGACTGTAAAAGGCCCCTTGTGAGAAGCACTTACGGTTGCCCATCGTTCCCAAGACCACCGTATCAGGGTATCATTGTATCAGTGTATCAGGGGACCCAGAAGCCCCGAGACAATGGATTCACGTTCACTCGTCATGATTTGGGGTGCCATAATTCTCCCCTTCGCTGAAATCAACATTCGTGGACGCTTATCGGTCAATAGACTGCCAATTTCTTAATAGCGTATTAAATATACATTTTTATTAATGCAAACTTACACACAAAAAAATTGGCCACAAAATTGCAATTTAATTTTTAAAAGGAAATGATTTAAAAAAATGTTAATGTTGAGGTTTTCTTAAAAATGTTTGCCTAGTCAAAGAATTTAGGTTGTTTACAGTAATAATATAACTGCATTTTGTAGTAAGAAATCACCTTAATCTTTTAAAAATAAGTATTTTAAAGAACGTCCACTTTAGATTCCCGCTAGTTTTTCAAATAAATACATTATTCCCAGTAGTGACATATTGCATATTGGTCACTTTAACCAATCAAATATTTAGTTGGGTAAGGTTAGTTGGACTAGTTGGTGAGATAAAATATGGTATTTAGTTAATTGCAAATAATTCCTAACTTTCTGTTTTCTTATGTTTGTAAAACTGATGATGTTAGATAGAAATAAAATTAACGTAAAAAGAAAAAAAGTTAAAAGCAGGCGCAGATTAAAAAGGATCTATTTCTGATATCTAATGATTCACAAATTTTCTTTGTTGTCTATCACGCTGTCGAAGCCAAAGTGAATAATACAAAAAGCCAAAACATATTGGGCAGGGGAAGCGCTATCTACTCCCCATGACTACAAAGGTTTCCCACTCGGAACCAGTTTGCAACCAGTTTCATCCCCGCTCAATTGATTCTCCTGACCCGAGCACAAAGAACTGATAACGTTTGATCAGCAACCAAAGGTCCATGTGCACTAGCACGAAACCGAGACGGACTTTGCATTCAAGAACTTTTCCATCGGCATTAGACGGCGGGCCGTAAAATCACTGTCATCGCACTTTGGTTATATAAACCTCACTCACAGGCTGTCGGGGTCCGTGCGAGCTAAAGGCTCGCCAAGCGTTCCTGGAGAAGCTCTGGCGCAGGCTGAGGGCCAGGTTAAAGCTGTTGCGCAGCATTGTGGACTGTTTGTACTCGGGATCGAGTTATAAAGGATTGGTTGTACGGATCTGTTACAAATCACGAAACGCGCACGGAACCGTACCGTGAAGCCCGACAAGTTCTACTGAGGCGAACCAACGAACTGACCGCCTTGGTCGCTGGTCGAGATAATGTGGGGCAAACATGTGTAATTGTAAGCGTTCATTGCGATTGCGATTAAAATTTGGTGTACGGCGGACTCTCTGAAAACGTTATCAATCAGAGCAGCTCGTACGCTCCGGCCTCTCCGATTGGGACAAACATTGGACCGGAGAGAGTACGGGTGCTTATCAAGTGGGGCAAGAGACGGGAAGAGCGCTTATCTAGCGCCTTGGTGTTTGCTAGGCCATTAGGGCAGTTCGTATGGGTGATCTGATAATGGGCGAGGTGTCTCTCGAAACCCCTCAATACAATCAATCATCGATGGTCATCCACTCAAATGGAAACACAATTTAATATTTTCCACAGTGAATTGCCCATCAGAAATCATGGCCACTCAACCTTAGTTGAAGCACTGAAAAAACACCCATAAACAACAGGCAATTGCAAATATTAATTAACTGCTGAAAATGTCAACTTGTTCATTTCAATGGGAAGCCCCAGTCCACGTGCTTGCAAACTGACAGACAGAGCATTCCGACGGGCGCATAATCTGTGCACATTGTGTTCGACTATCCTGCAGCCTTTCATTAAATTATTTTCACAAAGCAGCAACATCAGTGGCAGAAGCAGGGAAACGACTTACGGATGACCTGTAAAAACGCCTCTATGAGCTCAGTAGTTCCGGAATGAATTCCGGTAAACGGCAGAAACAAGCCAGAACTGACACCCGGACACGGAATTATTTTCATAATTAAATGACATTAAAAAGTTTTGTTGCAGCTTTGTTGCTGCCACAGCATAGTTGTGTCCCGTCGAGTCCTGCGGATTGTCCTCGATTGCCATTGCAATGCATAGAAAAGCCATAAAATACAATGCCAAATGGCAACAGGCCTCTGGAGAGGCGGGGTTAGTGGTCCGGCCAGTCTGGTTGGCTCGGGGTGGGGCTGCCTGGGTTCAGATAAGTGCAAAATTATGTCCCCGCTTCCTTCGGCCCCGCAAAAACTGGCACAAGTTTTTCAATCGAAATGTGCCCTTGTTTATGGCTGGATTTCGCTTAGTTTTGTTGCACCAGTGACCCCAGGTCGCAAGAACTGGCAAAATTTATATCGCTAGGAGCGAATAAGAAGCCAGGAACATTACGCATACGCCAAGTAGGCCACTGGCAGGAATAGCTGTCAAGTGGAGCGGAATGCCTTCAAATGATATACTCGTTGTAGTTTCGTTTCTTCTGGCAACCAATAGGAAATCATCATAACTCTCTGACGTCATTGTCTTTTTTCTGGAGCACTTCTTCGCCACTGGGTGATGGCACAATGGGAAAAACATATTCAGCCCTGAAATTGTTTGAAATTGGAATGTAAATATCCGGTTGTTATTATTGTTTCATCTGGCTGAATGCATTTCAGGCAATGCATCAAAGAGCTCTCCAATTGGAGCTCCAAATTCGGTAAAGTTCTCACAAAGTTGCGCATAATTCCAGGACCATCGAATCGATATTTTCCTTCCATTTGACCAACCGAATTCATTACTTAGCCGTGTTCTTACATGCCGAGCATTCGTCCCTGTTAATCTTATGCCCCAGCACTTTGAAAACCAAAGACAATCCACATCCTGCGGCCATAAGTTCGTCCTGGCTGCTGCTCCTGCTCTTAATGTATGCGCATTGCCAAAGTAAGTCCTGCCAGTCCTTGGCACAAGGACTCCCCTCCTCTGCTCGCCTGTCACTTCGCTCTCTTTTTTCCCAGGCAGTGAAAAATTCACTTACAAAACACTTACGCCGACACCTTGCCACGCCCTCGCGCACACTCACACACACTAATGCAGCAGCGAGTGGGCGCGGCGAAGGAAACTTGTGCATTGCTGCAGAAACTTCATCAAATCCAAGCTAATCACACTTTGATTTGCATTTTGTAACGAAGAGGACCGAGAACTTTTCAAGCAAAAAGCGCATCGCCACCACGAGCACTTAACTCCAAGCGTTGCCCCGACATTGATGAATGAAGTAGCCCCTCGTCTCCCACTCCTCCTTCTCCGCCTGCATCTGGTAATTATGCTAATGAGATGTCTTCAGTTAGAAGGGAAGTAGACTTGGCTGCCTCTGCCACTTGAGTTAAATGCAATTAATTATATTTCTTATGCCACCAAAGCCCTTGGGGATTCGATTAAATATAATCGCATAAGAATATGCAGATATACAGGGGTGTATTCAAAAACTTTGGACGACTATACTAATCAACTTTGTTGATTAGTTTACATACGAATTTTATACGTAAAGTGTATGCGAAGAAGAGCCGTGCACGAATATATTAGAATATTTTTTTAAAGGCCTCAGTTATTATTATTTTAGTACTTGAAGAAATCTAAATGTTATATAATTAAAGGCTGTTTAAGAAGTTAAATTAAATTCAATATACGATCTTGATCTTAAGACTTCGCAGATTTGTCTTCTTTAAGAATGTTCATGCAGGGCCCTTTTTCTATCCTTACACACCGAATACACCCCCAGATGAGGATATTAGTACATAATAAGATTCTGTTTAATACTTGGAGCACTCCTCCGATGCCTTCTAGAACTCGGTGTGTTCGTAGCCGCCGTTGTCGTAAATCGCAATACTGTTAGGATTAGAAGCCGAGAAGCTAACTTTCTTGGGCCCCGGCACCAAGGGCGGTCGCTTGCCAGTCTTCGGAGTGGGCGTTCCCCCGGGCGTGCCCGCTGCATTGACCTTCGCTGCAGAGCGTCTTTCCTGAAGGAGCTTTACTGACTTGCGGTTGAGGGCCAGATTCTTTAGGTTCAGCTCATCGTCTCCGAAGAAGCGGCGCTCGAAGTTGAACACCAAGTTGCTGTAGTCGCTGTGCTGCTTGTTACGGGTCTCGTGCAGCCGGAAGATCGTTTGCCGGCGCACCATGCTTTCCCTGTGCTCCCCATCTACGCCCTCCATCAGCACCTCGTCGTAATGGTGGTCACCCTCATCGTCCTCATCGAAAAGCCTCTTGGGTCGTTGCAGCTTTCTAGCTATATTGACAGCACTGCCCTTCAGCTCGGTGGCGGCATCCTCGTCTGTAAACTGACCTCCTGAGCGGAACCAGTCCACGCGGGTGGTGGCCAGCAGCTGACACATGGTGGCGAAACGGTGGAAAAACATCGCCAAAAACTGGATGATAAGAATCAAACCAAAAAAGATCACAAAGCACAGGCCAATGGGATCCAGTTCCTTGTACTGCCTATAAATGCCGACCATTAGGTTGTCCCTGTCGAAGGACACAAAGTCCGTGGGATCGATGGGCCATTTTAGGTGCAGGAACTCCTTCTTCAGCTGCAGGAGGAACACAATTAACACGAAGATCGCATTAACCATGACGAAAGCAAAGGCGATCATGTTTCGCAGCTCCTTGAGTCCATCGGCCATCGACTGCTTCTGCTCACGACTCAGTTCTAGTGGTTTCAGATACTGTTTGATTACATCCTTCCAGAATCGCTGCTCCATAAGCGAAACCTCGCCCAGCTCCGAGTTGATCAGAAGCGGATCATTCAGCCAACCTGGTAAATAGTTATCCGCATCATTGGGTGAATCCTTGTCGTCATCCTTTAGTACTGGCGCTTCTCGAGTGCCCCAGGAGACATCGTTCATATTGAAGACCGAAAAGATCATGAGCAGCATGTACATCGAGGGAATGGTGATGTAGTAGATGACTCCGCACAGCAAGGCCCAGAACTCCTGCGGATGCATGAATCCTTAAAGAAAAATAAGGTGAAAGTTATGAATTAAAAGATATTACACAGCCTCACCTGCAATTGTGATCTGGACAGCAACGAGGAGGAAGAAAAGTGATGCAGGAGCCAAGGGTCCATCCTCTATCATCTGCACAATGATACCGATAAGGACTGCCATCATGACCAGACAGTAAAGAGAACTGATGACAAAAGCTATCAGAAGTTGGAACTTCTGCTTAAGGTAGACACACGACAGAATGAAGAAGATAATCGGAAAGAAGTTCCAAAGGAAAGCTGTCCAGATGTCGATCGAAAATACGGCCACCAAAGCGCCCACCATCATAAGGAATATGGTACCTGGTCCCAGGACGGTTCCAATCATCAGCATGCCCTGGTACCACACATACATCGTAGATATGGAGTTATTCCTCTTAACCACCGTGTCCGCATCGGCCAGGATATCGAAGATATTGGCTATAGTAGAGGGCACCCAGCGACGCCGTTGATTGTAGAACTCATTGAAGCTCTCCGGCGCATGGGTGTAGGCATCAGAGGCGGCGCAGTACTCCACCCGGGATCCCGCCTTCAGGAGCAGCGTACAAAGCCATCGATCTTCGCCCTGATCATACTGCACCATCTTCATGGCCTCTGAGCTGACCATCGTGTACCGCTTCATCACGCTGTTCTCCATCAAAGCGCTGGCCCGAAACAGACTGAAGCATCCAGGACTGCACAGCACGCATCCGATTACGTGCTCCGTAGCCTTTTGCAGCCAATGTCCGATGGCGTACTCGAATCGCTGATACCACACCATTGGACCCCTACCCACTGGATGAATCCGGCCACAGGCAGCACCCAGCTCATCCACGGCCTTCATGCGATCGATCAGCAGCTGAACGGCCCGCGGCTGGAAGTCGATGTCCCCGTCCAGGGCCAAAATAAAGGTGTTCTCCGCAATGACCGCTTTCCGCCTCGGTGAAAGCTGCTCCGTCTCCATAATCCGGTAGCCGAGTAGATAGTACATGTACATGACCTGTGACCAGCGCTTTTTGTGCCTGATCTTATCCTTGTTCTTGAGGTGAGCCACCATCTTAGTGCGTCCTGGCAGTATCCACACCAATCGACCTCCGTAGGGGGTCTCGATTTTCAGAGGAGGCTTTATCCGGATATTAACGCCGTACACCTCGAAGGCTGCCTTATCGATGGTTCGGGTGAGGGTCTTCACATACTCGTTGATGGGTGGGTTGCGCTTGCTTTGGCACTGCCGTGGGTCCGAAACGAAGGCATCGTCGAAAAAGATGTTGGCTGTGGAACAAAATACACACAAGAGAAAACAAGCTATACTTATATACTCAAAGATGTCTCATTCACAAAGAAAGTACAGCTATTGTTTTTAAAATTCAACGATTTCCGCAAATAACATTGATTTTTAATTCCCATAGTCTTAGAAAAGGAACGGGTTATAAGTAAAACTTTTGTTGCATTCCAGAATATTATTTAAGCGAAACTAATTTACAGTTGAGTGCCTTGTTTTGACTAAACCGAAAGCTATTTGCTGCACAGGTCTGGGCAAATTTTTTATTCTCTGTGTAAATGCGGAATTAGGGAGACCGTAAAGTTGTCGCAGACAGTTGCCGATGCTTGGCTTAATGCCATTTTGGCAAGCGAGGAAATGAAGTCGCCAAACGCTATAAATAGAGCTGCAAACAGCATCCCGAGCTGGCATAAATTTCCACTTTGACACTTTTTAAATGTGCAATGCAAATGTAGTTGCTTAGGACTGCAGACGACAGCAGCTGCTTCTGCATCAGCATCAGCATCAGCATCTCCATCTGCATCTGCACCCGCATATTTTTGGCCCATTTACATACTTTCCAATTCATAGTACTCGTCGTCCGCCTTGCCGCCGTTTAGGTGCGTCTTCGCCATGCGGCGGGCGCATTGATCCTCATCCAAGCGGACAATTGACTTGAGGAACTCCATCATCTCGTCCTCGGTCTCATGCCACATGGTGGCGCATACAATCAGCTGCGGCACCTTGTCCTCCTCCAGGATGTCCCGGCTAGCATTGATGTCGGCTGCCAGGGCCACCACAGGATCCCTCGGCGTGGTAAGGTCGCTCTGTCGGGTGAAATAGATACCGACGGGTTTTGTTAAAGCTCCGAATGATTGCAGTGCATCTCAAGTGGTTATTTGGGAATTCTCAAGAAATATGTACAATTGTATTCAAATAACCCCTCAACTGAAGAAGAGCTCAGCGCTGCTTGAAAACTTGTGGTATTCAGCTTAATCCTTACGTGAAGGAGAGAAAACGATCCTTAACTTCAAATTGGCATTTATATAGCACTGTTTCTAAAGGGCTTTAAGGCCGGTCCGATTAACTCTTTCGGTACACCTAATGCCACGACGTCATTACCAATGCACATAATTTGCTGGGCCTCTAATTTATGCCCTTAAAATCAACTCTTATGCCCTGATTTTAATTACTTTAATGTCTTTATGCCGGGTAGGCCCCGAAAACATGCGAGTGGAGCTGAAACACTTTTAATTAAGTTTACACCCACCGAAAACCCTCGCATCCCAGCCTTGCCCATGCCCAAACCCATTCCCATTCCCGTTCCCAGTCCCCACGAAGGGGAAACGCAAACATTTCCTGAACTTTGCAGTTTCCCCGTCATTTAACTTAATTACATTGCCTGACATTTGAAGCGCACATCAGTAGTGCCGGCAGTCCCGGCACTCTCCCCCGGAATAGTCAAAAAGTCCTCGCAATAGATGGATGCGGCAAGGCTGCTGGGAGCTGCGAACTTGGCGCGATGATTGATGCCAGGCAGGCGCCTGATTACAATAATTCATTAACCTGAACTCGGCTGAAATCTGATTTGGCCCACTCAATTCCGGAGGCAGTAACCCCGACGCTCACCTTAATGGCCAAGTACTCCTCGCTCCAGTCCACGATCCGCCGGTTCATCATCGAGCACTGGTCCACCAGGAGACCGCAGTACCAAGGGCACACGAATAGTTTCTCGGTGGGAGCGTTCTTGTCGTTGTGTGGCTGCCAGATGTGCAGGCAGGTCCACACCTGGGCAAGCCACCACAAAGGCCATAGCCACAGGGCCAAGTCGAGGCATCGTTGGCCCATCTCCTCCACACTCCCGCCCAGCGCCCGGAGCGACAGGTACTCCGGCACGAGGCCGTGCAGAGAGCACGGATCCGAGGCACGCAATTGGGCCAGGAAGGTTGCAAGGCAGACTGTGGTTGGCCCTGCCAGGGTCAGGGGCAGCGCGTAGCTGAACACCTGGATCTTGATTTTACAGGCGAACTTACCGAAAATGTGGCACAGGTACGCAGCAATCACCTGGGCCACCAACGCGTAGACCACCGCATTCGGACTGGACTGCATGGTGAATTGTATCCTGAGCGGCGAGGTCTTGATTGATGAGTTCGCCTGTGCTGAAAGCAGGGCATCCAGTTCGCTGCCAGTTTGCTGTAAATACACGGAATATTACTGGGAAGCTTAAGGAAGGAATTTTTAAGGATATTAATTTCATTAAAAACTATTTTAAGTTACATATTTCCATTTATAAAAATTAAGCATTTATACTTTCCGATTAAATAGTTTTTTAGTTAAGGATATCTCAATCTACGAGAAACTTAAACAACCATTAACTACATGTATATAGAAGAAAATAATATTAGAATATAATATTTCCAAGTGCATCATAGAGATGGGTAACCAAAAAGGGAAGGGAGGGACTCTACTCACCACCAGCGTGATGAGGTGCGGCCGCCAGGCATCCAGGAACCTGGTAAAGTACTGAACAAATTCCTGGCCGTGCAGGAGGAAGGCCATCCCCGCGAAAACCGCCACCTTCAGCGGCGCCAGGTAAAGGTATGTGTGGTAGCGGGAGCGAGTGCAGCGGATGGTGCGAATGATGTATGCTGTTGGTGGGAGAGAAGATAAGTAAATCAGTATTCACTTGAATATTTCATTATCACAAGATCTTAAACCATAAATTTAATCGTCAAAAGTATTGTTTACTTCACAATTTCAAACTTGCTAAGAAACATTTCCACAGGAAACCCGTGGAACACCTAATCTTCTTGAGTATCTTTGTATGTTCTGTCAATAGTCAATAAGCAACACACTCACCGATGGCCTCGTGGGTGTTGGCAAAGTTTTCCCACCAGCGGAACGAGACGAGGAGCAGCGGGATGGCCAGTAACTGGACCTCCAGACTATCGCTCAACGAAGGCCATACCAGGAAGACACTGCCTTGAGCCACTAGGGCCAGAATGGAGAGGCCGAGCACCAGGCTATCCGCCGACCTCCAGTGCACCCGGGTTCCCGTCAACAAATCTGAAACGTTGAGCGGCCGGCGCAATCAATTTAATTGTTGTCAGTCGGTGACTAGACACCGATAACATCGTCGTTGGAGAGTGACTCACTGAGCAGGGCGGGCACAAAGCAGACGCAGCAGCCCAGAATCGCACCACGCGTCACATCCAGGGCCGGCAGTACGGTGAAGGTGAGCAGGGACAGGCCAACGACGTGCAGCAGTTCAAAGAGCGTGACCTGATTAGCGGGGACTTATCAATCAATCTTCGCCTGAGATAGGATGGCTCGAGCTGCGGGACTCAAGCTCCAGGGGGTGGTGCAATTTAAGGGGCTACAGTCACTTGTGGCATTTAATTCTATTGAGTATTTGGCTTATTTTGCTGAGGACTTTAAAATTTCAGTTCACCAAAGTACCTGACAACTACTTATCTGCCTTTAATACTTATTGTCTTGATAATTATAGGTTTCGTCATTTTAAAGCCAACGCACTATTATTAAAGTTTAAGGCTTTAAATGTAATTCACTAAAAATCTTCTTTTAAAATGAATAATTTTAAAGTTCACTTTTCAACAATAGCATGCAATGTGCAATAAAATGTATTTTAAGACTTTGCGAATAGATAAAATATTTATCGTTATGATATATAACTATATATATATCTCCGATCGTTAAAAACTAATAGACGTGACCCCTTTTTGACTTTGCAAGTGATGGCAGCCCCATAAAGAAAGTTTTTATAGCTGAAGTAGCAGTAGTTCCGGCACTCCCCCAAAACGTGCCACCTTACCTACGGAAAGGGTAATACCCACCAAACCCACTTCCAGACCGCTGGGTCGCTGCTCGCGCTTGAACATGCAAATCCGGAGGGAGCGCAGGAAGGTGAGCAACTCAGGGGCTGCGAAGGCGAAGATCAGGCCCCAGACCCACGCGATTTGATCCAGCTCGCTGGGCAAGGCCTCCACCAGGCCGTGCCGGAGAACTTTTGGTGCGGAAAAAGTATTGCCACTTTGTATCGATAATACAATAAGAGTTATTTAACCTTTACTCACGGTATTTGCTGCACACTTGCACCCGTGTCCCGCTGCCACCCGTGTTTCCGGCCATGTATAGATAGAGCAGGTTGGCAAACACGCTCGTGGCAAGAACCACTGAAAATACCAGGAGGTAAACGCAGAGTTTGAAGAGCTTAAGGAAGAACTGGAGTTTTTTCCAGTCGGCATCGGAGCCGCTCGTTTTCTTTGACGGCGGGTCCTGGAAGGAATCCCAAAGCGGCGGCTTGTCCCGAAGCTTCCTGAAGTGGTAGGAAGTACTGGTTATCTTTGACATCACATCTTGATTAGCCCCGGACCCACCGACTGCGCATAAAGTAGTCACCGCTCTCGTAGTCTCCGCTCATGTCTATCTGGGCCCATTGGCAATCGAGAACTGACTGGCACTCAGCAAATTGGCAATGCGGACTTGGCCATCCGATAGGGCGATCGGCAGATCGGAGATAAGGTTCTTCGTGGCGATATCATCGATGCAAGGCATACAACCCGACCGCCCCGATAAGAAACCTTCTGAAGCTCCAGACCCAATGACTCTAATTGCAATTACAAATGTCTTCAAATTGAATCACGGCAGCCTTTCCCATTCATAAAATTGTACATACGACGTTGTTTAGTGTCCCTATAGTTTGTATTATTCATCGAGCGGCTCTTTTTGTGTTTTTAATTGCAGCCAAGAGCCCAGTGCATGTGTTCCTCGTACTTACGGCTACATTTGTTCAGCTTGTTGTCCGACATGGGACCGACAAGCACTTCAAAGTTGTAGCTCGACTTCTCGACAAAAGTTCCGAGTATCGCCGATAGCAGCGGGTTACACTTACACCTGGGACGAAGGGAAAGCCACTTGAGTTCGTGCAAGTCAATGCGAAAGAAGACTTTAGTTTCCGCTTTTTTTATTCTTCTTGATCAATAGTAGCAAGTTTACTGGCTAAATTTTACAATTAATACTACTAAACCCTTGACAGGAGGCTTATGTTTCAAAGACACATAACCGACATAGAAGTCTCAAGGTCAAGGCGAACAGTACGGCTTAGCTTCTCAATCCCAGAATCAAGTTAACTATTGCCAATAAAGTATATATCTACAAATCGATCCTGGCTGCCATATGGAGATATGGCATCCAGGATTACGGCATACCTGCACAGACAAACCTTAATAAAAACCGAGTGGTCCAGTCTCGAATCCTGCGTAGGATCTTCCTTTCTTCCACAACGCATACTTGGAAAAAATGGAGACTACATTAACGCCCAAGCTGCAGCATAAATAAATAAACTCGGGGGTCATCCGATCCGGCTTACACATAGACCTCTAATGGTAAGGCGAATCAGGTCCACTCCACCGACTTACCAGACCGACTTTGTAATCACCAGAACCTTATTTTCTTATTAAATACCCTGTAAAAATGAAATATTACATATAATATAAAACTGCGCCCTCACTGTAGTATAAGTTGCTAAATAAATAACAGTAAGTTATAACCTTCCAACATCACTGTTGATGACAAGTGCTACACATTCTTGTGTAGGGCATTGTGAAGGGCATATCCGCCCCACATTTGTAAATAAAAATTTTTAAGAAAATCCTTAAGATATTTATTTGATTGGATCTGAAACCAATAAGAACTGTTGTTTCGCACTGATTGGCGCGCTATGATATTTTATTATAAGCACCGCCATCTATCTTCAGGAAACAATAAGATAACAGCCCGCAATGAAATTTTGCAGAAGTAGTTAGTCCACTGAACGCTTGAGGCGCCACTACGCTAATTCTACACAAAATGTATATTTTTTTAGATGTAGATATGGCATTTTAAAAAGTATGTAATTTACAAAAATATTTTCCCTAATCGTTCTTACTTTCGTTTTTTTGGGGTGTAACTTTTTATTTGTTCTTAATAATTAAAAAAATGCTTTACTAATGGTTCTTAAGCAAACATCTGTAACTCGATGTTATCAATTAGGAATGCGATAAACCTATTACCGTTAAAACCACTTTGTACTCCCAATTTGTAGGTGTGTATTTTATTACCTATGTACATATATAATATAATTGCATTGATCATCATAGACACATTTAAAGGCAAAAATTTAGTTTAGTTTTCTCATATGCCTAATTTGTGAACGTATATGCCTAATTTGGATTATTGGTTTCAAAGCTGACAAATATTTTTTGGTTAATGTCTTCAAAATATATTTACTCCTACTATTAGGACCAATTTGATCACCTATATATGGATATACTAAAATAAAAATAAATAAATAATGACATTAACAGATTTTCCTGACTTTTAAAAGAAGCTAAAAAGGCAACGCAGCATATAAATATCACGGATAAAATTCTTCGTGTAGTTCACGGTAAAATAGGTTAGGTACGGACGAACCTTAACTAAATAAAACAATTTAAAAAATCAACAAATGCATTGGCACTCCCTTAAACTAACACACATTTGGCTTCTAAGTTAGCCTCCTTTCAGTCTCGTCCCGAGATCATTATTGGGATACCTTAGGTTCAACTCCCTCCGCCAGTTCGTCCTCCATGACTCCCTTGGCCCGACGTTTGGCTGTATTTAAGTCGCGTGCCTCCTCCATGGTCGTGGGAAGCACCTTGTCAGCCGTCTCGGGGAAAGCCAAGGTCAGGAAGCCACTGATCAGAGCAAAGGTAGCGAATAGTATCTGCGGTGCGTAGATGTAGTACTTGGCCTAAAAACAAAACAAGGTAAGTTAAATGGATAAGCGCGGACCACGAGAGTATATAATAACCAGTAGGGGAGTTTGGGGGGCCAACATGGAGCCTATCCGTCCCACCATGGAGCAGAGAGACAACAGGCTATTCCGCACGTTTGTGGGAAAGATCTCTGACGTAAAGAAGTAAAGGATCTGGAAGCTACACGTAATGGCCAGCTTTCCAATTAGGAACAGTGTCAGAGATCCCGCGTAGTTTTCTGAAATAAATAAAAGATGTTGTACTTTGAATCGTTATCAATATAAAGATGTTCTAAAATTAATTAAATCCAATTGAGTAGTCGCTAATAAGTATATCAACATATTGATACTTTGTGGTCGTCATACATCATAAAATTCTGTGTATAAGGTGATAATAGCTCAGGGGAGGCCATTGTTTAATATACTTGGAGTGTTCTTTTGGGGCCTTTTAAATGTAATAATAAGTTTCGAAATTCTGTCTGTCAGTGAACTTAATTTTCCCATCTTCCCACCCACTTATACGACTTAGAATTTAACTAGGCTACGTTTTTAAATCATATTACCTGCTGGAACTCCAGCAGAGGCACCCATGCAGATGGCACAGAGCAGCATCGAGGCGCAGAGCGAGTAACGCCTGCCAACGCGATCCATGATGACCAAAGGCAGAAGCAGGCCCGGGATCTGGATGAAGCCATTCAGCATGAAGTTGGTGTACTTGTTTCCGCCCAGGTTAACCGAGTTGAGGCTAAGTCCCAAAGCGATCAAGGTGTGGGTGAACCAGCAGAGGCAGCAGTTAGCGATCCGTAGTGAGAAGGTTCGCACGGCTCGCATTATCGGGTACTGACTTTCGTTGGCCTGGCTGAGCTTCTGTCGGTTGCTGGCCAGCAGCTCCTCCACCTGCTCCTCCGGCAGTGAACGCTTGTTGATCCGTGCTGCTCGCCTCAGAACGTCCGCGGCTTTTTCTTCAGCGCCCTGACTAAGCAGCCAGCGCACACTCTCTGGCAAGATCCACAGGAAGAGGATCTGCAGTACAGCAGGGGCATAAAGCACCCGTAGCAGCCAGCGCCAGTGCTGTACCTGGGAAGCCAGGAATCCGAGGAAAGCCTCGCCCAGGGAGTAGAAGATGGTGATAATTGTAGCCGCTGCAACTCGCCGCTTTGGACCCACAAGCTCAATGGCCAACAGGAAGGCGGTAGGGAAGAGGGTGCTGCCCACGGCCATGTCCAGGAACTCGAACGCCATGAACATGGAATAGTTGTTAGATAGCGAACGGATCACGCCCATTAAGGCGCTAAGAGATCCGGCCACAGCCAGCATAGTGCGACGTCCATACCTGGATTACAAATAGAAAATATTAGTTCCTTATATTCTGGACATGTCGGGACAACCTACCGATCCGCAAAGAATCCACCAAGGGGTATGCCAACGAACTGGCCCACATTGTTGATGGTGCCCACCATGGACAGCTTCCACTCATCTTCACAGTATATTCCGAACTTTGGAGGTATAAAAAAATAAGTTGAATAATAATTAATAATAAGTAGCACATACTCTATAAATAACATTATAGGAAATAGGAAGGATATTAGCTGTAATTTTAGATAAGATAAACTTTATATTTGCTTTTGATGAAGAAACTACGTTCTATTCTTCCGTTTAAGTTAACACATGCTCACACGTTCAAATACAATACGTGCTAAAAAGGTTGAAAACGTATTAGGGTACTTAAAAATATAGTAGTGAACGGATTTAACTATTTCCACTCATTTTAAAGATTTAGTTTATTTTCAAGAATTACATCAAAAATATTTAAACTCAGCAAGAGAACTTAATGAATCCATTGCTAAAAATAATTTTAATAAATTTGATCTCAAATTGTCTAACAGAAATTTCTTGTTCAGTTGCTAGTTTTAAGTTAATTTGCTATCTGCAACTACCCACCTCCGTTGATATTGTCTTTTCCTCGTCCCTGAACTTGAAGTCGTGCCCGCAGGTCTCAGAAGTACTCGTAAAATAATCTTTGGCGCAATATTCTCCGGAAGGATCAGTGAATCCCGAAGCGATCTCTGATTCATTGACTGCGTAGCGATGGCAGGCATCCCATGCGGAGCTCTTGTAAGGGATGGTGAAGTTCAGCCAGTCCTCCTCGTACGCACTGGTGGGACTATCGCACTGAGGGACGTTGCACCTGAAAGTAATCGAGGATCTCAAAATTAGCTATTCTATTTCTTTTCACGCACTTTTCGCCAACCTGTGGACCACTGTGCTCGCCGTAAACACATAGGAGATGGAGAAGAACGCGTTAAAGAGCATGGGAAGGCAGAGTAGAACATAGTTAATGATCTGATAGCGCCCGAACTGTCCGATCCGCACTAGAATGGCATCCAGAGAGTTGTCGTCATTCCCGCCAGCCGTCGCCGCCTCCGAATCCACATGTCCATTGGTCTTGGCATCGCTCGGAGAGCTGCCGTTTCCCTCCTTCTGACTGGTCATGTTGTAATTACTATTGGAGTGTCCGCCAGTCACGTGGAAGAATACACTTCTAATCGGTGTTTTATAACTCGCGGCCCTCGATCTTTCCCTTCGACAGCCGTTTGACTTATTTATAGACGCTCTGGAGCGTCTGGCTGGGAGCAGTGCCACTCATTGACTGATTCAACCTCATGCACTGGTCGGTGCGCTGTGCTCAGTTTTGATCCGACGCTCTCCTCCCCATACCTCATTCGATTACCGCTTTCTCTCGCGCGCTTCTATTTTTAATTTGTCTGCTCTTCTCCATGCCGCGGGCTATTCCCTTCTTATCGGGGTCTTATCAGGCCCCAATCGGTTCAAAAATGTTTGCACTTTAGTTCATTGGACACTAAATTCCTAATCCCAAACGCGCTTCATTGCGAATGGGTTAGCCGAAGCCGTTGATATCAATCGATATGAAAACTGCTTTCGCTGTTATTGATTAGCTATCAGACGGCGAGACATGGTGTCTGGTTGTGGGTGGCCAACAGCTGTTCCTGCCTGTTAGCTGATTGCTCCACTAGGTCAACATGTTGCTCGACCTGGCACTTGGCTCCTTATCTTACTCTATTTGCCCGATGTCATTGACTTTGGCGCATGTTTCTGAGTCCCCTGTTTGCCTTTTACACTTGATTTACTTTACCCGACCATAAGATGATTAAGTGGCTGACGGCAAACTGTGGACACTAGTCCACTGCCTGGCTGACTTTTCGATCGGTTGTTGGTGGCCGAGCAGATTGATAAATCAATGATAAGTTCCGATGAAGCCACAATAAATGGTAGCTCGGGAATTATTGGCACGCTGTAATTGAAATTGCTTGATAGATGTATGGGGTTTGGTGGCCACTCTGAAAGGGCGCCATAAATCGGTAATATCACGCGGAAAAGCTAGTCATTCCTCTGATAAGCACCGAATTAACGAAATTTGATAACTATTCGAGCTGAACCAGTATTAACTTTGTTAGGCCACTTGAGAACGGAAATCACTTCGTAATACCAAATTATCTGAGGGCAAACGATTTAATCGCTGCTTTTTCCAAAACTTAGTTCGTGATAACAAGTATTTATGACTTCATAAGCGAACCTATAGCACTTCCATATTTATTCGAATTTATTGTCAAAATTATTTCGTGTTTGGAAATACGTAAATATCAGCAAACAAAACAGATTGAGAACGATCTTTTCGGCTAAAAATATATTTTAGTTTAAAGTAATATTTAGATAGTTTTATGTTCAAAGCGAAGTTGTGTAAAAAAATATTCCAATAGTTTCTTAATGAATTACATACATTACATCGATGGAATCGAAATGTAACTTATTATTACAACTACTTTATAGGTAGTGCGGACTCAGCTATTATTATTTTATTTGCCTGCACTAAAACAGCATTGTGATTCCGACCTTTCTGTCTCTCAACAAAATCGTTCAATTCTCCGCTCTTACGATTCGTTCAACTGCGGTTTCCGGACTTTCGGTTTTATTTTGTTCATACACTTGTTTAAGAGAAGAAAAAGTTTTTTAATAATTGTTTCCATCACTCATTTCCTGAATATATGTCAATAAACCATAATTTCTTCATGTCTCTGAACAATGGCTATTAACGACATTAGAGAATTAATACAAAATAATAATAGATACTTACCTAGCTTAATGTCTTTAACCAAATTGTTTTATTTTTATTCGGAATAGCATTATATATGACTGAAAATGTTTATAACTTCTAACCGAATACGGATATCTAGATAATAACAAGAGGAAACGTTATAGCCGACTTCCACGACTACAATATACCCGTTACTGTTTTACACAATTTTAAAATATTCATTTTGCTAGTGTTCACAAGGCGCTACCTATTCAGAAGAGAAAGCATGTTGACTAACTGATACTGACGTCATTGCCCATGTGAGGCCTTATAACTTAAATTCCTTCATAAATTCAAAATAATAATTTTCCGATTTAAAAAATCTTTGGTAAATCGATGGATATTAACAGAAGTAAGTTATACAAGGTCAAACGATGGCAGACGGACAGACGAACATGGCTCAATCGACTTCGCTATTGATCCTGATCACAAATATATATTTACTTTATATGGTCGGAAACGCTTCCTTCTACATTTTACATACTTTTCAACGAATCTAGTATACCCTTTTACTCTACACGTCACTGGTATAAAAATGTGTCTACAATTCCAACGGTAATATATATTTCACCAAAACTAAGATTACCATCTAAGTGTCCACTGACTTCTTAAATTTCAAAATTGTTTATTGCCCAATCTTGACTTGCAAGTTCGTTGGTCATCAAAAATCACACGCTCCTGTGTCTCCGATCGCTCCGATACTTGTGTCGCGATAATGCCTCAATTTTGGTTAGGCAGCACTTTTAGATACTTTTTCCTTAGGTATACTCTTGTCCAGAGCTCGTGCTTCTGCCAGCGTGGTGGGCAGCACCTTTTTGGTTGTCTCCGGGAAGAACAATGCCAGACCCGAACAGGTGAACCCGAATAGGGCAAACAGCAAATGAGGTGCATACCGATAGTAAACAATCTATGAAGAGGTATTGGATAACACTGAGAGGTTACTACTCAAAGGGATGCTCACCAGAAGAGTGGTTTGGGGTGCCAGCATAGAGCCAAAGCGACCGACACTGGAGCAGAAGGAGAGCATGCTGTTCCTACAGTTTGTGGGAAAGATCTCGGAGGTGAAAAAGTAGAGGATCATGAAGCTTCCCGTGGACACCATTTTTGCCAGATAGTAAAGAATCGAAGACGTCAGAGGGTATCCTGTTGGAAGAATTAAGTTAAATGATTTATGGTGCCGGCTTGACTCACCGCCATCCGTGGCAGCCACTGCCAGGAGTAGGGCTGCACAAGTAAATTGGCAGGAGCTGAGCGCCCAGCGGCGTCCTATCCAGTTCATGAGAGTGGTGGCCATCAGAATGCCCGGCAGCTGCATGAACCCCGTCATGCTGAAGTTTTCGAACTTGTTCCCACTTAGCTGGGCGGAATGTAGGCTCAGGCCCAGGGCGATGAGGGTATGGGTGAACCACACAAAACAGCACAGTGCTGTCCGAGAGCCCAGTGCCTTGAAGATCTGGCGGATGCTGTAGTGGCCCCCGGCTGCGGCAGACTGGGCAACCAATTGGCGGTTTGAGCGAATCAGATCATTAAGCTGGGACTCTGGCAGAACCTTCCGGTTAACCTGAGCCACCCTCCGCAACGTGGACTTGGCTTCCATCTCCTTTGACTGGCTTAGCAGCCACCGCACGCTCTCCGGCAACAGATAGATAAAGGTCAGGTGCAGCAGTGCGGGAGTGTAGAGCATTCTTAGAAAGCTACGCCAGTCGCGCAAATAGTTGGCCAGATAGCCCATAAAGGCCTCTGCCAGGCCATAGGTCAGGCTGACCACGGTGGCGGCCACCACGCGGTGTTTTGGGCCAACCAGCTCCACAGCCAGAAGGAAAGCTGTGGGGAAGAGGGTACTGCCTACGGCCATATCCAGAAATTCCAGGCTCAAGAAGCTATAGTAATCAGGCGCATAAGAGCGGGCCAGTCCTGCGAAGCCGCTAAGGATTCCAGCGATGACCAATATGAATTTCCGCCCATATCTGCAAAAAAAACAATTAAATTAAAATAACTCTGCTATTATTAAACATGAGTCAAAAATCTATTTATATAATATAGATATCATTAATATTGTAGTATATATACATCATTTAAGTTATATTTAATCGGCGACAATAAAAAAAAGTTGTCAAAAAAAGTCAAATTTAATGCTTATTACACATTTCTGCACCAATACAATATTTCTCGGCAGGTAGATTTAAAAATTAAATTAAATATAAAGAAAGCTAAAGGCTTATGTACGTATTTGTAATAATTTGTTTTGCTCTTCATATTCAACACCAGTTTGATTGGATTCAAACTTGTTTTGAATTACGAATTACTTTTTGCAAATTACATAATACTGAAATGGCAAAAGTATGCCGTAACTTAACAAATGTCATTGACTTTTAATTAAGCCATATGCCATACCTCCCTGCTTGATAAGTTTTTAAATTGTGGAAAAACTCTCTATTATCAATTCAAATTCATATATCGGTATAAAATAAATTTATTCAACTAAAAATAGGCACTTCAAAAGCAATCACAGTTTTATATTTGAAGAATACACTTTCATCGAAGCTGATTCCTTCGATTTTCTAGTTAGATTATAGTGCTTCCTTTCAGATATTGTTCTTGGTAATCCTAAATCTTATTTAGATTTAAGTATATAAACATAAATTCAACTTCAGTGAACGTACCGATCAGCCAAGTAACCGCCTAGAGGTATGCCAATAAACTGTCCAATGTTGTTGACTGTTCCCACCATAGAAAGCTTCCATTGATCACCGCAGAATATTCCAAACTGTTACATCGATCATCAATAAGTCAGTTAAAAATCTTTTGAAAACGTTAACAAACCCACCTCACTGGCAATAGTTTTTTCATCGTTTTTCAGCTTGAAGCCCGCTTCGCAGTTGACCCGTTGACCCACATGGAAGCTGCTGGCTCTACAAGCTGATCCAACCTGATCCGATCTCATAGCGTAGTGCTCGCATTCATCCCAGATGCCGTGGCGTTGGGGAGTGGTGAAGTTGAGGAAGGGAGCCTCATAACTGGTGTCCAAGCTATCGCACTGAATAATGTTGCATCTGGAAAACATTTCCGACTAATGATGGCTATAGTAATGGAAAAATAATCCACCTGTGGAGCACATCGCTGGCAGTGAACACGTAGGAAATGGAATAGAAGGCGTTGCAGATGATGGGCAGACAGAGTAGCAGGTAGTTGAAAATTTGGAAGCGACCGAACTGGCCGATCTCAATTATGATTGCGTCCAGCTGGCTCTCCTCGGTCGACTTCGGGGGGTCTGCTTCGTCCGGTCCGGTTTCAGGCTTCTCCGGAACCTCTTCCAGTGTCGACTGCAGCTTAAGCATGCTGCTGCCGATGTCGCCAAGCGTCGTTAAGTGACTGAGTCCGGCTTGAAAAGCCGCACGGCCGATGCCCGACACCGCACGCCCATTGCTTTTAATTGGCTAAGTTATTCACGGTGGAGAGATCTGCCGCCGAGTGGTTACCCTGGCGATTTTCACACGTTCAATTACCTTAGCACGCCCACAGAAGCCCGGATTTAATTGCCGGACTAAGTAACAGCGATGAACAGCTCAAGAGCAGTCTTTTAAGCTGGCAGGTGAATAAACTTCCAGCTTATCACAAACCCAGCGGGACTATTGTAATGTAATTATGCTTTTATTGTTCAGATTCAATGAAAGAATTAAAAATATCACTTGATTTTGTTGTTGTCGTAAGAGAGTGTGCCTGGGTGTGTTAGATTAATAAGGGGACTATGAAACTAATATAATAATACAGTAAAAATACTTTAAGGTTTCTAAAATACAGTTCAAAGGAAACTTGGATAAGCATTGCATACAAGTGCAAATAGAGATGGGGTTTCCTAGAAGCTACCGCTCATGAATCTGTTTTAATAAATATGGCAACTACCGCGTAAGTTCGCTACGAGCTTGTTATTTTACAACCTTCAGCCTAGGAGTTGTTCCCCATCAGCACAGCTCCATAAATCATGTTGCGTTTTGTGTCACATAGAATGTCTATAAATTATGCCTCGTCATGGGTGTGTCCTAAAACTACAAAATATATATCGACCAATTTATGGATTAGAATCAAAGCTTTCCGTGCTCACTACTCTGCTACGTTAATATCAATCAATCTCATCGAATTTCAATTTGATAACTTCCTTTAACTAGTTCAACGTGGAATGTAGACCGTCTACAGGTTGTACATAGGATTACTGGTAGCGTCAAACAGCTGGGTTCCTGTGGATTCGATCATCGACCTCAATGCAATGCTCCGCTGCTTGGCGACCGCCTTGCGAAGCGTTAGCTCGAACACATTGTCCTCGTCTATGTTGTCCATCGGCATGTGTTCTCTGTGTCCCTCTTTGCGATCAGGAGTCTTAAAGACAAGCTCATCATGCTCATAAAGAACAGTCGTCTCGGAGAATTCCTTGGCAAAGTACTGCGCCGCGTTTCTATTTTGAATCACCTCGCTGGGAAAGCATTGCAGAAGTTCTTCAAAGCTCAGTTCCGCCACCAGATTGTTTAAGATCTCTGAAATGTTGAAAATAATTATTTTAAGGTCCTTATTGGTAACACTTTTTACGAACCCGTAATGTGTGCCTTCCAGTTAGGCAACGCCTCCTGTTTGCTGAGAATTTTCCGCAACAGGCTCTCCCAGTGCTTGGGCGTAAATCCGCAGGACTGTAGACATAAAATATTATTAATCACAAACATTTGAGTGATTTATTTTCTAGTATACAGTTTTTATATTTTTCAAGTTTGGAAAGACTTGATTACAATCATAAAAACTATCACTTACCTTTCCATATTGCCACAAAAAGGCTGGACAAAAGCTAAGCAGATAGTTTATGGCCAAGTTTTTAGGCAACACAATGACTAAGAAGCTGTCGATGCCCATCAAATGCGGTGTCTTCTGTATGAAAGCAAGAAACTCCGAGATAATCTCACGATCCACCTTGGTGGAACTTAGCAAACTCTGAATTTTCAGGGTGAGGGTTAGCAACTCGTTATGCCAGCTGAGAAAGCGAACCTCGAACTCGCCGTCGTCCTTGTTTGGATAGCTAAAGTCGCTGCGTTCGAAGGGAGGAAGGCGATTAAGATACTGAGGTCGCTCCAGTAGGCAGGGAATTGGGCGAATATAGCTCTTAATGTGGCGATCATACTCTGCTCCCTCGGGTAACTTATAGTCCGGAATGATGGGAACATAAATAAGTTTGCCAGACAGCGGATCATTGGGATTCCTTATTATCGGCTTGGGACAATAATTAGGTGCCATTCCCACCATGTATGAGATGCATTCCATTCGCAGGTTCATGAACTCCTCTCGGCTCGCTTGCTGTTCGATGTCCGCGGACTGTAGGTCTGTGATGAGATCACTCAGGGCCTTCAACCGGCCCATGTACATTCGAAACAGGATTTTGAGACCCTTAAGATTGCTGGCAGCCACATCGTCATCTGGTTGGGGCTGTGATAGCGAGGCATTTGAATTGCGCTTCTGAAAGGGAGAAGACTGTTGCTCCTGCAGTTGGTCGTAGACGATTCGTTGCTGTCTGTTACTGATCGACAGACTAGCTGAACGTTCTTCATGCGCCGAACTAGCACAAGAACTAGACAGTGACTGGGCATCCGCTTCGCTGTGCAGTGAAGGCGCCCGAGAACTGCTGCACTCTTCATCATAGTCGTCGTCCAGTTGTGGCGGTGTTTGCGATCGAATCTCATGCGGCTGTAGAGACGAGCTAACGTCATAAAGATCGTAGAAGTAGACCTGCAGAATGTTAACGAGCACTTTCTGAGAGGTCTGGTATCCTTTCTGACCGATGTGCGAGGCAATGTAGTTGAGGAACAACTGCAAAATTACGTCTAAAGTCATGCTATGCTCGATGCATAGCGCATGGATAAAGGCATCGCTGATTGCTTCTATTAAAGCTGGCTGCTCGTTGGCCAGCAGAATCGTCTCGCAGAAATCTGAGAAGGACACGATGCTATTTGGAGTTGGCGTACCAGACGCAGCGGATCTGCTCTTCCCTCCCATTCGCCGAGATTTCTTAGACCGCGATCCCGATGCATGAGAATCAGCTTGCTGCTGATGTCGCCGTTGATAGATCACAGTACTGTCGTCGAACAAAACATTCTTGTGCCGAATTAGTGCGGTGGCCAAGTTCCGCCTCGAGGACTTTGAAACTATCTCCTGGGCCAGCAAATAGTTGGACATTCGGCAGGCAGTCACAGCCAGCAGCAGGTTTTCATCGGGGGAACTAATTATTAAGCATAAACGAATAAACATACATTTTGTAAATTACCGAACTAATAACTTACAGCTTGTTCAAGTACTTCAAATAGTTAATCAGCTCTCCACTCATAGAGTCCCCCACAACTGGTGAGACCAACATTATCTGCGGAATGTCCGCCGGTGCATGCTTGATGAACATGTTAAGGAACTCCAGCGAGAGTGGAACTTGTTTGTATCCCTGATGAATCACACGAGCTGGCGTAAAGTAAGGACGAACTGTTTGATTTAGGAAGGCCGACTTTGAGCGATCTGTCCCCAAGCTAAGCAAAAACAGCTTTACTGTATAGATCAGTCCTGCGAGCTCAGGTATCTCCTCACTTTCACCGTCCATAAAGTTCTCTATATAGTGATTGAAGATGTCAACGAGATGAAGCTGACACATCCTGTAGAAACCTGTAGCCTGCAGATACACCTCCTGTTTGCTGGAACTGCAAGAGCAATAGATGTTTATAGCTGATTAATGCTTTAATGCTTTCATTAAAGGGATTGCAGTAAATTCTGAAATTGGTTCTCCCTACCGTATTGAGAAATCCGCCAGGCTTCGGCAGTTTTCCACGAACATTTTTCGAAGCAGGAGCTCGCGCTCCGTCCCCAAGCGCTCACCCTGCAGAGTGAGACCTAGCCTAAGCATGACATGCGCCTCCTCCATGAGATCGTAGAAATTGCAGCTGCTCGCACTGCGATACGATTCTGCAATGCCCTCAAGGTCCTCGATAACGCACTCCACCTTAGGCACCTCTAGGTTGTAAAGCGTCCACTCGTTGGGCACCGACGAGGACTGGGCTGCACTGCTGCTCCTCAGCAGACTACTATGCTTGGCCTTTGCCTCGGCCAGCAGGCGAGCGGCAATGTTCCTCTTGACAGTCACCACTTGAGCGCTGGGTACCTCGCCCATACTGCGTCGTTTGTGCTGTTCCAGAGCTGCGTTTGTGATGAGCACCAACTGTTCCCTGTTCACACACACGAATTGAACGTGCATGAAGGCCGCGAGTCCTACGACTGCAATGGGCGAACTGACATCCGGAGCGGATTCCTCTGGGAACAAGCCGCCAATCGAAGGATACTCAAAGCGATTATGAAAGAGCTTGTGACCGATGCGCGAGGTGTGAGTTTCCACGGACTCGGAAGTCACTGCATATACGACGTAGTCGTTGATGTGGACCTGGATGACCGGGGCCGTAAAGCTGTAGCAGGCCACCGGCTTTTCGTTCTCACTGTACCACTTTCCTTGGGCTGAAAACTGGTACAAGAAACCGTCCACACTGCTTGCCACCAGGAGAGCGTGACCAATGCACCTCTGATGCTGCGAAGACTTAAGAGTCCGGCGGTTGACATGCTTGAAGGTGGTCACTGCACTGGGCACCTGTTGGTTGCCCATATCGTACTCGTCGTCCTCTTGGTCCACTCCCTGATTGCTTCTTTGGTAGATGGCCTTGAGGTCCATACAACGAAGAATATCCAGAACACGCGGCTGGTTCTCCGAGGTCTTTATACAGATCTGCAATAGTTTACGCACATCATATTGCACCGAGGCATCGTCAAGATGGATGCCACCCGCGATACCCCTTACATTCATGGCCTTGGCCTCATTGACCAGTTTGATTTTAATGTCAGCGGCTCGTTGGGGGCTGATGGTAATATCCTGGCTGTCATCCTGACTCTTTCCTGCCCCGAAGTCGCCCTCATCCCACTGAGAGCGCAATTCCGGCTCGAACTCCCTGCCGTAGGCATTATTCACCAGTTTTGCTACATTGAAGTCTAACGGCGACCGTCCCGGCAAGGCTCCATTCATGACTACTTGTGGTTTTCCGCTACTTGTCGACTGCAGGGAGTCACTTTCACAGCTTTGCTGGCTGTGGCTTGAACTGACCACGCCTCCACCGGCGCCACTCGCACTACCCTTGCTTCCCATACTTATAGACTCCGAAAGTGGCTCGTCCCCGCCACCGTAGTCATTATCCAGGCAGCTCACATCCTGACCTCCACTTACTCTGCTCGCGAGAGCATCCACCACCTTGAAGGCCACGCAATAGCGATGACTGAGGCAGGCGATAACGTTCTCCGCCAAACTCAGTCGTACTGGAACGAAATTAAGCTGCACGAAAAACTTGAAGGGCAGGAAGTCGATGAAGGCGAATCTGGGCTGAGTGTTCTCGTGAACACACTGGGTATACTCGTACAGGTAGATCCTGTCACGGCTGCTCACAATGATGTTGCCGGAGGTCTGACAGCACTGCACCAGCTCCGGCGGACTGCGCAGTGGCAACTCGATAACATCGATGCTCTCCACCAGTGGCGTCTTGGGCGTGGTCATCGACGCTATCCGAATGGTGATGGGTAGCTCATTTAGCCGACTGTCCGGGAACTTCCAGAAGTTTGCATATATGCGTACAAACATTTTGGTGTCGTCCTCGGAGCAGACCGTATTGCTGTTGCTGCTCGAGGTGCAGCTGATGGTCGAAGAGGAGTGCACCGGACTACCCGCCTGCTCCTTCTCCAAGGTGAGCAGGTATTTGCCTGTAGAATATTTAATTTTATTTGCTTATTAAGAGGTATGTATGATTTTTACTCACCAGCCTCACAGTAAATCAGTTGCACCACCTCGCCCACTGTTGCCAGCGTGCTTCTGCTCGGCGTTCTCTCATCGGCACCGCTAGTGCAAGTTTCTCCGGGCGCGTCATTGGATGATTCTTCTACCGATTGTGCCCTCCTGGTTTCCTCTGACTGGGGTTGCTTGCCCGAAATGTCGTAGATCTCAATGAACTGCTCTGCACTGCTAATGGCTATCCGGTTGTTACCGATCAGACTGGCAGCCAGGATATCGCCGTTCAGAGCGTAGGTCTGTTGCCTGGCAAAGTTGTAGGCCTGCAGGATCTTCACCATGGTGGCTCACTAGAAAAAAATAACAAAGATTTTTTCATTCACTTTGGTAATCTAAAATTTCTAACTACGCCCTCGGTTGATTGAAGTGACTTCATTGCCGGACGTACGCGGAATGATGGCCTCACCGTGAATCAGTCGCTAGAGCAAAGAATTCTCTTGCAGAGAGCGAGACAGAGAAAGGGGGAGAACGCAGAATGGGAGTGGGTTGGCGGTCCGCTTAGCGGGCTCTCAGTCAAGTGGTTCTTGTTTGGGCATGTGAACCATTAGCATAATTGTGCGCTAATGCTGTGTTCAGGGAACTAGAGAGTGGTTGAGGGCAAAATCTAGTGTGTAAGGGCTAGGGATAGACCTTAAAACGAGCGAAGCTATTAATTTTCATTAAAGTCATACCAGTAAACGACATCAATATTGGAGCCACCACAATAAAAATTAATAGAATCCAGTTTAAAAACTGAGAACTATGATTGTTATTGACAGCCGTTCAATATGAAAAATTATTTTCGTTTAAGTTTGGATCCAAGGGTTTTAAACCAATTTGAAAATTATCTAAAAGCTGTAAAATGCTGTAAAATATAATACATGTAATAATATTTACCCTTTCAACTTTTAGAATAACATAATAACGATTCATAAGATTTAAAGTTTTCTGTGGCACCCTCTTATTTATCTATCCACCTTCATTTGAGTATCACAATAGGTCAGTGCTGCACCTTTCACTTCCGCTGGAATTCCTGCGGTGTCCTAAGCGCTGGCCATAAAGTAAACAGACAAGAATTAGGTCACAGCAGTATACAAAAACACGCCCTTCCTGTCCTCAGCTGCCCACCACCCCCGCTCTCCATGCAGGCAATTTAAGAGCCACTTGACGTATGTATGTTGGGCCACGGTTTCGACTCCAATTCCCAACTGGCTATACATACGTGAGTTACCCAAATTAAGCCATTGGACATAAGCTGGACATACACTCGGCACATCAATCAAGCAGCCGGTAAAAAGGTGGAAAGCGGAGGGGGAGCCGGAAATAGAGCGCGTTATGTCGTAGGACATTTATTTCTGGTCGCATGGTCAAATCAATAAATTCAGCGATCGTAATCCGTGCATTAACCCAAATGAACTTAGGAAATGGAAGGCTTGGATGGAAAAATCTGAATGGGAATGGGGAAGGGGAGTGTGCAAAAGATGTGTGTATGTAAATTGCATTTTGGCCCGAAGAAAAATCAATAACGATACCAACACATTTTCATTGGAAGCGATACTTAGGTAATAATCTACACTTGATGTGCACTTTACTTTATCGCTTATATATTTTATGAAAAAAAAAAGAACAGGAAATGTATACATTTTTGAGTAAAGGCATTCTTTACCGCTTCAGCGTTGTTGTGCTGCCAAGTTGTAATAATTTTAAGCAAGCGGTATTAAGCCGCATAAATAAAACGCGTCGCCGGACCGCACATTTTAGTATTCACTCGTTTGTTTATATTTTTTTCGAGTGAGAAACAACAATCAAAAATATTGAGTATAGAGTGACCAGGTTTAGTTTTTTAAAAAATCTGCCAATCTACGGATAAAGTGCAGTGCAGTATTTTTTCGTTTAATTAAACTACACTAGACTACAAACATTAAAAATGAGTAGCAAAATTTATATTCAATATACAACGGTAATTTCCTAAATATCATATGTACTTGTCCCTTAAAATTTCTTAACAGATTCAATTTGAAACATTCCGATATACCAAATATCACAAGCTTACTGCATAAATAAATAATTTAAGAAAACGCCATCAAATTGATAGTTTAAGCTTTAAAACTGAGGCCTGGCACAATGAAGGTTGAATAAGCTTCCACTCTTCTATCATGGTAAAACGAAAATTGTATATATATGCAACTAATAAAAAATAGTTTGACCATATGTTGCTTATAAAATCGTTATAAATGGTAGTGTAAAAAAACAAAAAATTGATATTAGACAGAAGATCTAAAAAAGGGCAGGTTTGTAAATGAAACATGGAAAGCGCACCAAGGACATTAAGAATGGTAGATCGAACTGCCAATTAAAGTTTCTGATTGGAATTTATCATCGGCTTGCAACAGTGGTGCCATCTGGCGGTTTTCAACTGCTAGAACCAGTTCGCGGCATTTGTATATTACTTTAAGAATATTTTAAAACTGGCGAGAACATCACCTTCCATTTATTATAAGTACATAGGCCAAAAATCTTACTAGCATCCTTGATTCTTTTATTATTTTTGAATTCAGAAAGCACTGCAGTTAGTCTTCTTCTTCACTAGCTTGCTTTCTAGTTCGCAATAGGTTTGTGTATAAAGTATTTTTGGAGAAAAATAACCACGGTCACACTACTGGCGCGCATTGCAAATTTGCGGAATAATACGAAATGAAACCATGACCAGCGCACGCAGCCAAGTCAGCATGCAATGCAAGTACGACCGCGTGGTCCTATTGGTGGACATGGACTGTTTCTTCTGCCAGGTGGAGGAGAAGCAGCAGCCGGAGTACCGCAACCGTCCTCTGGCCGTTGTTCAGTATAATCCTTGGCGCGGGGGCGGCATCATCGCGGTCAACTACGCGGCTCGAGCCAAGGGCGTGACGCGCCACATGCGTGGAGACGAGGCCAAGGATCTTTGTTCTGACATCGTCCTTTGCCAGGTGCCCAACATCCGGGAGAAGGCCGATACCAGCAAGTACCGGGATGCTGGCAAGGAAGTGGCAAACGTGCTGCAGCGCTTTACCCAGCTTCTAGAGCGAGCTTCCGTGGACGAAGCGTATTTGGACATCACAGAGACTGTAAACCTGCGTATGCAGCAGATGCAGACCGTATGCGATTAACCATCTGTGGGCAGCGCTTCTCTAACGTTTTAATTCCTTGCAGGGCGCCTTTGCTTTGCAGCCCCAGGAACTGGTTAACACCTTCGCCGTGGGATACCCAAACATTGGCGACTACGTCAACAAGATAACGAACCGCTTTTCCAATCCCTACATAGACGACGAACGCTTTCAAATGTCATATGACCAAAACGATCTTCCCGCCGTCCGGCAGAGCGATATCCGGCTGCTCATTGGGGCATCAGTGGCAGGTGAAGTTCGGGCGGCTGTCAAAAAAGAAACCGGATACGAGTGTTCGGCTGGCATAGCCCACAACAAGATTTTGGCCAAGCTGGCAGCAGGCATGAACAAGCCAAATAAACAGACCATTTTGCCGCTGGCGGAGACTGCTAGTCTATTCGATTCCTTACCTGTTGGCAAAATAAAGGGACTAGGCGGCAAGTTCGGCGAGGTGGTGTGCGAGACCCTGGGTGTGAAGTTCCTGGGCCAAGTGGTAAAGTTTACAGAGACCGAGTTGCAGCGCAAGTTTGACGAGAAAAATGGGTACATCAAATAAGTCAACTGATAGCCATTCCGAATAACTTATCTTCTATATTATAGAACCTGGCTGTTTAACATCTCTCGCGGCATCGACCTGGAGGCAGTGACTCCGCGCTTCTATTCAAAGAGCATTGGTTGCTGCAAAAAGTTTCCGGGTCGGAACAACATCACCGGGTTGAAAACCCTTCAGCACTGGCTGGGAGAGCTTTCCTCTGAGATTAACGACCGGCTGGAAAAAGACTTCATAGAGAACAATCGCAGGGCCAAGCAAATGGTGGTGCAGTACGTGCAAGACATTGACGGCGAGGAGGTAGCCAGCTCCCGCTCAACAGCCTTAAAAGATTACGACCAGGAAGTAATCGTCAAGTATGCCCTGGACCTAATCAAGGCCAACACGAAAACATTTTTGCGTGCTGGCAGTGATTCAGCTCTAAACAATGCCATTAAGTTTCTCGGCATCAGTGTGGGTAAGTTTGAAACCGTCTCAAGTACCCAAAACAAGCTGCAGGAGATGTTCGCAAACCAGGCTGCCAAGAAACGTAGGATCAGCGGGGAGGAGCCACTCCAGCCGCCAAAGATGTTGGTGGAAAAGAAACCAAAGCAGACGGAAGAGTCTAAGATGAAGAGCTTCTTTGCCAACTACCTGCAAGGAACCAAAAAGGAAGATACAAAGCCAGATGATAATTGTGTAGAGGCCTCAGCTGCGCCAAAGAAGAGCTTCGTCGAGAAGTACAAGCAGAAGCTCCATGCCACTACAAAAGCCGAGGAAGGCATCTCCGAGGGAACTGGTCTCACTTCAACGCAGCCGGAATTAAAGGAAAGTTTCTTTTCGCAGTACCTGAAACAACAAAAAGAGACACTGCCACAATACGGTCAGGCAGTAGGTGAGATCCATTCAGATATGCAGGATTTGGCAGAGGAACTAGACGCTATTGAGGCCAGCAACACAAAAGAATTCGATGAAGACACTGAAGAGGAGACGGATTTAACGGGCAAAATCCACAGATCGCTTCTTCAAGAACAGCCATCTACATCCAAAGCCTTGCGAGAGGAACAATTAAACTCTTCTTACCAAAAAGATAATACGAAGCCGATCGATCTTCCACCGCTCACTGAAGAAGAACTTAAGCCTTCAACGTCTAAAAGGAAGTTCGACGAGATCGACAGTTCTGCTAGAAACTACAAAGAAAGCTATGCAGAGTTCGCTGTACCTGAGCTTCGGACAGATCTTCTCCCGATGGTCAAATGCGAGCAGTGCGGAACGAACATACCAGATGACGTCAAATGCCTGCAAACGCATAGGGATCATCATTTTGCCCAGGAACTGAGTCGACAACTAAAGAGTAATGAGCGGGAGGAGATGTTACAGAGTCGTCAGAAAATATCTCCTAAGCCTACACCACCGAAAAAAACTAAGAAAACGGCTAGTTCTGGAAAATCGTCTAGTACCACGGCTCTACCCACTAATAGTATAACCAAATTCTTTAGCGCCAAGGCAACCCAGGATCCACCATCCAGTGATGCTCAGATGCAGCAGTGCACCGAGTGCAAGGCTTTCATCAAATGCGTGGATATGCCGGAGCACCTGGACTACCACGTGGCCAGGAACCTTCAGCGTGAATTAAACCAACAAGATCTACGTACTCGAACCGCGGCTCTGACAAAGGAGAGGACCTCCCCAGCTCAGTCGAAGAAACAGCAACAGAAGAAGCTAAACACCACTGGAGGCTCCTCAACTGGAACCAAGACAATTGTTCAGTTTTTTAGTCAAAGCAATTGATTTCAAAATATTTTCCGAATATATCTATGATAACTTCGAAGTAGTTAAGAATAGAGCAGAAGCAGATTTTTATAGGATATAAGCGAGATCAGAATAGAGAACTTACATAAGAAGACACTTTGTGGATGTATATATGCTACTAACATTTAGTTTTAATTTTTGGTTCGAAAAAAAGGGAACATATTTTTTACATTTATAGCTCTTAAATTTTTATAAATTTCATAATCAAGCTCTGGACAGCAAATCGATTTGTGATTTTTTTAGTTCTGTAATATACAAGTTCCAGGTTACTGGTAAATTTTTTAGTTTTGTTATATATAAAGGCGAGTGATAATATTCATGTTTTTTTGTTTCTAGGTTTAAGTATCAATGTTGATCAATACAATTTCCATCCTTAAATAAATGAAACCGAGTGCTCTGTTAATGCTAAAAATAATATGTATAATGTTTATTCTTATAGTTATAACACATTTGAAAAGAAATGTCTTTGTATTTGTAGGCTGCCTTAGGATAAGATTAGGTTACTGATTACTGCGTTTGACTTTCGGCCACGACTAGATCGAGATCCTTGGCCTGCGACGGTTTTTTCTTGACGCCGATGGCATCCGCTTCCTGCACTGTTGTAGGCAGGACGACGTTGGTGGTCTCTGGGAAGAACAAGGTGAGCAATCCGCTCACAATGGCGGCGCCGGCAAAAAGCATAGCCGGGGCACTGGCATAATACTTAGCCTGCGAGGGAGAAGAAACAAAGCATTAAAATATAACCCGAGGAGCAACTACGTTAATTACGCACCAGAAGAGGCGTTTGCGGGGCCAGCATGGAACCAAATCTTCCCATCATGGAGCAGAAGCTTAGGAGGCTGTTCCTAAGATTCGTGGGATAAATCTCCGAGGCGAAGAAATAGAGCACCTGGAAGCTGGCAGTTATTGTCAGTTTCCCAATCAGGAACAGCACTAACTGTAGTACCGGCTGATCCGCACCAGCGAAGATCGTTCCGATGCAGCATAAACCACTGGCAAGCATCAGACCGCAGAGGGAGTACCGTCTGCCGAAGCGGTCCATGATTAGCAGGGGCATAAAGAAACCCGGGATTTCTACCAGGGCGATGTACGCGAAGTTGTTGTACTTGTCTCCATCGAGCAGGACCACATTTAGGCTCAAACCGTAGTAGACCAGCACGTGGACAATCCAGCAGAAGGAGCAGTTGGCGATCCGCCACTTAAAGTTCTTAAAGGCCTCGCGAATGGGAAAGCGGCTCTCTGACGACTGCTGCAACTTGTCCCGATTGGCCAGGACCAGTTTGTCCAGCACACTTTCCGGCAGCTCGCGCTTGTTGACCTTAGCCGCTCGGCGCAGGATATTCGTGGCCCGTTCCTCCTTGCCTTGGCTGAGCAACCAGCGTACGCTCTCCGGCAGGATCCAGAAGTAAGCTAACAGAATCAGCGAGGGCATGTAGGTGATGCGCAGAAGAATGCGCCAATCTGGAAAGGCTTTGGCGGACATGGCGAGCAACACTTCACCCACAGCATAAAAGACTGTAATTACGCTGCAGGCCAGCACCCGTCGCTTAGGTCCAACCAATTCGATTCCGATTACGAAGCAGGTTGAGTACAGTGTGCTGCTAGTCATATTGTCCAGAAACTCGAAAGCCAGGAACCACCCATAGCTCGGCGAAAAGGAGCGGATGACGCCCAGCACGGCTCCCAATATTCCGCCCAGGGCGATCGAGAAGCTTCGTCCATATCTGATTGGATGTGATTGTGACTCTTCGGAGGAATGCATAATTATATTTGCATACTTACCGATCTGCTACAAAGCCGCCGATGGGAATGCCGAAGAACTGTCCCAGGTTGTTTATAGTTCCCACCATTGATAACTTCCACTCATCATCGCAGAAGATGCCAAACTGGAATAGAACTGTATTCATGATACCAATGCTTTGATATACCAGAAGTTGGATACAATCAGAAATGTGATCATTATCTTAAGTTCCCAGAACTCTTTATTTATTTAATGCATTTAAACTATCATTATCAAGAGGAGCGATTATAGAAAATTGTATACCCATAAGTTTTAAGAATACGATAAGTTCCTGAATACGAAAGTCTTAAAACATTTCTGTTGACAAGTATTTAACCTTGTGTAATATTAATGGAAATGTTTTTTCTTTCCAACAGTCACAACTTGTGTTCTCCCTAAATATTAAATTGTTACCTCATTTGACTAGGAATATCTTAATCTCAATTTGTTTTTCCATGTTGCAATTGCCATGCTTGTCCGTCTGTCAGTCATCTGAGGCACTTATCTGCCAGCCACTGTTCTCCCATCTCGTGTCCAATTGTCTAATAAAGAATGTTTTAGCATTAAAGCTCATCAGGCCACTTAGGCAAAAGCTTCCTACATATTTAAAGGGCACATAATCACCTGCTCGAAGGTTGGCCCCTAAAACTAAATTTGTTTACCTTTTGAGTGGTTAAATTCCTCCATTAATCCCAAATTGCTAACTAAATATTATGAATTGTGTTTACCTTCGGCCTTCGCAATTGTCTTTCTGTTGATTCAGCTGGCTTACCCGGCGTATACGTTACATTAAACGTTCAATAACGTATAATCAATACGTTGAGACTTTTACGATCACTTAGTGCAATCCTATCTCCACTTTCTTAACCCGTTTCAGGCCCCGACTGCGTGCCCACTATTTGATTAAGATTGTGAACTAGTCAATGGCGACTATCAGGGAGGTAGCAGTAGTAGTAGAAGCATTGAACCCGTGAGAATGGGAAGGATTATTGATATTGAAATCGACTGGGGTCAGTGTTCGATCTGCTCCGATTACTTTAAAAGGGCACGTCCAGCAATCTTGGTTATTACTAGCCACGCGTTAAGAATATGATAATGGGAAACTGAAATCCATAGCTTTCTTATCTTCTCACACGCCCCATTAGAAAGGGGAGGAATTCTCATTTTAGCTCACGTTTTATAGCGAGGAAAATAAATACTTCACCTAAGGTAATCAATGCCTCGAAATTTTGGATCTCATTCTGATAATTAAAAGATAAGCCTGTATTTGTTATGATGAAATTCACGGTTTCCACAAAAATAGGCTAGCGATTAAATGAAAAACTTTAATGAATTTAAACATGTGTAAAGACAAAGATGACAAGCTCTTGTTAAACATTCAAAATTTTAAAAAGGGAACATAATTTTTCCTGAGTGTAGGTGCGTTAATCTGATGACTTATTAGCAAAGTCCAACCTCTGCCAGCGCAAGATTCGAGCGTCTGGCAAGCAGCCGGCGTAGAACCTGATAACAGCACCCCCATTGGCGGACAACCTTTGATACTCACGTCATTCGAAATGGTAACTTCATTATCGCGGAAGACGAAATTATTTTCGGGGCAGGATTCTGTAGTTGTCGTGAAATACGTGGGAAAGCAAATTCCTCCCTCCGACTGGTTCCACTGGGGCAGTTCGGAGTTGGTGTACCGATTACAGGCGTCCAGATCCTTGCCGTTCTTGGGGATACTCCACTCCGTATGTGGCTCGTAGTAGGCGCTGCGTGGCGTATCGCACTCCTCTATGTTGCATCTGCCGGAGAAGGGGAATTTGGCTATTTCGAATCAGTAAGCTAAACGAAGTTACTAAGGTCCATTAACCGGCCATTAACTTCACCTGTGCGTCACGGTGGCAGCGGTAAACACATAGGTGACCGAAAACATGGCGTGGAACATCATCGGCAGACAGATCAGCACGAAAATGATCAGCTGGAAGCGTCCGAACTGTCCAAGATGCTTTAGAATGGCATCCAGGGTGACGTCCTCGGAATCCTTTGCAGGTGACGGCATTGCCGCATCAGCCGGTGGCGCTTCACTGGCTGCCATTTCCCAATCTCTGCTGATTTGGGCACAATTAGCGCACACGTTTTCGATTTATTTGTGCACTCGCGTTGCGTTATTTTCATTTACGGAATCTATACATTTATTTTTACCCACGCCAACGAGCACTTGGTGCTGTGCTGTGTACCGTCCGATCACTACGCGTCTCGAACTGCGAATGCCTGCGGCGTTCTCCGGTTCCGTTCGTGCTCCGAGCGAGCAATCAACGATCGCCTTCGCCGACAAGTGGGGAAGATCGTTCCACCGACCAACTGTTGAGCGGTACGGACGACGGACGCCTTGATAAGACTGCCGGTCTCACGGGGTTCCGAGTTTTGGATAGGTTAATGTGGAGATTATGCCTCGGTGGGTTGGTGAGGTGAAAGTAGATCGCAGAATGGGGTGATAAGTAAGTAATCAAAGTCCAAAGACAGTCATCAGATGTCTAAGGCTCAAAGACAAGATTCATTTTAAGTTGGTTATCGTCCTGGTAGATCAGTAACTTGCCTACCGATTGGAGAAATAATAGTACTTTCCAGGTGCTAATCAGTATCTCTATCTCTATATATATAGGAATATGGGCAACTCATTTTATTCAATATGATCAGGATAGATAACTAATCTTATTATACTCGTACATTGTATATACATGTCTTGATTAGCATCAGTAATCGAGGTAACTGTGTGATTTCCCTTAGGTGGAAAATCAAGGTAGTTAGAATTAATAATACTAGAGCATCTACATTTATCTTTTCCGTCTAGCTAAACTTCTGTCAAGAATCACGTGCCGCAAACGTGATAATTCCATAATTTACACGTCATTCCTTTTTCCGATTTGGCCGGGCGCCAAACCATTAGGTGAACGCACTTGTTCTGTGGCAGAACGTATCTATATAATCTATATTTTTGAAAGAATTATATTGCTGAATATATTCATCGTGTATGATAATCATGTTCATGACCAGGGCTAAAAAAATTTACATTAATGCAGTGGTTTCCACTGTGTTTCCAGTTTTTACTCTTCCTAGGGGTGTCTGATTATTCCTGAGATGTTTGTAGAGCCCAATATTTTCAGTATCTCTGTTATATTGTCAAATAAATTAACTTTATAATTATAGCTGAAATAAGCAGTTGTGATTTTTATGGTATGGTATATTTTTATAGCGTTGACAAATTTAAATTTCTTTTAAATGACTTCCATTTTCTAAAAGCTGCCCGAAATATTTGACAAAAGAAAAAGATTACTCCAAACACATGGATGGGCAAGGGTAAGCATTTTTCGTGTTGGTATAGTAAGTTTCCTCCATCGCACAAGTTGTGAAAGTCGGTGTACAATCTCGATTTCAAAGCGAAGTACTGTAAAGCCTGTTATAAGAGAAAAGTTCTCTAAACGGTTTTCTCACTCCGTAGATGAATTTCACATTTTATTAGAAACTTAAAAGGCTAGATCCTAACTTTCATGAATTATTTGATTTAATAATCCAATCCAATTAAACCAATTTAATAATTCCAATAAACAGACAGGGCTAATTTAACTCGATTATATTCGTTTTTTAAGCCATAACACCATTAACCATAATAATTCAACAAATTATTTGGCTTATTAACCTTATTTGTACTACTGTAATTTGTACGTACTGTAACTAAACGAGCTAACGATATACAGAGAGTTTTCTGTAAATTTTATTCAAACCGAAATATAAGTTTGTTTTCAAATTAATTTAAAAAATTACAGTGTAATTATTATTCTCAGTGTACCTTGTCTATTATTTGGCGAAAAGATTGCGTTTTAAAATAATTTGTATTCATTTAAAATTAATATTCTCGCTTCGCTAATTATTGGTAATTGTAAAGTTTTTAATACATCTTGATTTTGTTTATGAATGAAAGTTTACTCATATATAAGTAAGCATTGAAAGTTTTTATATAAAGAAGGACTGAAGGTTTTTAGAAGTTTTAGACTGCACTCAAGCCCGTTAACCGAAAGTGTAGAAATAATTGTTATGCAAAAGTACTAGGAATTGGATAAGCGGGAGATACTTGAAGTGGTTTCTATTAACGTGTTCGAGATCGAGAATCGTTACGGTGAGCTGTAAAATAAAATTGAATTTCGTTATTGTACCGTTTATGTTCCGGTTATCGAACGTAATTACATGTTTGCGAACACTGTGCGACGCGAAATCTAAAATTGTATTTATTTTTGTATCTCGTCATTGTTTCTGCATACACTCTTAAGTATATATATTTATTTTGTTTATTTTTGAGTGTTTTTATGAATGAAGTTTGGTGGCCTTTTTGGCATCCGTTGTTATCCGTGGTTTGGCCTCGTGCCATTCGCTGCTTATACTGATCAGATCGAAACAATCGGACCCCACGTCGAATACTTATTATCATTCCTCGTGGCATGTGTTCCTTTATTATATATATATATCAGACGATTATGAAAGACCCCGCTGTGCGAATAGTAAATCATTTTTTTATATTTAAGCCGTAATTAACGAGGTTAACGAACAACTCAGTCGAAAAAGCCGCTAGGCTTTGCTACCCAGGGTAAACGGCAAGTGAAACAACACCTTTGATTTGTTTTGAATATATCTAAACACATACCTTTATTTAATGAATTCAAAAATTGTGTTAAATTCTTGTTTTGGTTTCTGTTGTTCTTATCTTGGTTTTGTCCTCACACAAGTGGTACATTTTCATAATCAATTTTCTCAATTTCACACAGATATATCTGTGAGAATGTTTCTAGCTCAACGTTCTTATGTTTAGGTCTGTGTGTCTTGCTTTCTATTAATTTTATTACCTTTTAAGACTTTTTATTTTTGTTTGTTTTTGAAGTAAAAATTTGACTCAAAAACATTTATTCAAAGAACGCAACACATTTATGTAGCTTTCAAAAATCGATCTTGATTTCTTACAATTTCCTTTGGTTGGGTAAACTTGCAGTATTTTCTTGTGTTTGATATGATGTGGTATATGATAACTTATAATTTATTTGCTTATATGGATTGTTTGATCAACGAAAATATTCTTCAGCGATATATGCCATGTATATATATATATATATATTTATATATAGGTGTGTATATGAGTTGTGAGTAAATGCGTATGCATTGTTAATAATAATCATAATCAGTTAATCAGTTAAATAATCTCACTTAATAGCTTCGTTTAACTCTATAAATTCAATTATAATGCACTTAACTTTGCGTGTGACTGTGTGATTTCGAGTCTGTCGTATTGCACATATCTGTTCAGTGTTCTATGTTCTACGTTCTGTGACGTGTGTTGTCTAGTGTAAGTGTCGGTGTAATCAGAGAAGGCAGTCCCTCGTCCTCGTCCTCGTCCTGTACCGTTACACCCTGATGGCGATGCCTACGTATGCGTGAGTGGTGTAGATGTGAGTGTGTATATGTGTGAGACCGTGTCCGTTTTAGGGTTCGTTTGCACTCTTTACGAGTATGTGTGGGGTCGCACATACTTACACATTGAGTTTGTTCTTCATATATATGTAAATACTTTTAAATATAATTTATAGAATTGTAAATATGTTGTAAATAATGTTTGCTTTTCGAGTTTTTTTATTACTTTGTTTTTGTTTTTACATATTTCAACTCGTTTTACCATTTTACCGTTTTACCGTTTTCTTGTACATTTTGCCATTATTTAAGAAATCTTTAATACCGTTTAGGTTGCTTATTGTGATTAAGTTCTGTGTATTCGGACATGCCTGTGTCTAAAGTCTAACATATGAAGAGCATCGTCTAAAGGGCTGTCCGGGTGTGAGATCGGAACTCCCAATGGGGTTTTGGCGTCTTCCGAGCGGTCTGATCAAATCTGTCCCAGGTCACTCCGATATAGCCGTGTGTCAATGAGTTCGGTTGAGTGTTGTTCGGTTTGTTCTTTATAGAGTCGTAATACACATTTAAGAATTATTTAAATATTATTGTTGTACACAGATAAACAATATTCATTTCACTTATGGCTTAACTTTACTTTTATATTTGCGATATCCGATTTAACATTGCATCGCCTCTCTTTACGTGTTTTACGCGTGTGTATGTTTGTGTTTCCATAGTTTTGCTTTCAGTGTACTGCAACTTAAAAGTTCCTGTTCTGCTGATGCCTTCAAAGTGTACCATGGAGCCTATGGCGATGCTATAGTCCATTGTAGACCACTTGGGTCTCTGTCCGGTTGTCGGGTGCAAAATAATGGTGACGATGTATCTTGAGCTAAGCTACATGTACGTGGGTTAGTTAGCCTCTACACTACACTACACACTTTGGTTCAGATCGAAAACTATGCGGTGCTGGTGCTAAGTGTTAGTTTGCCTTACGTTAGTCCGTCGGTTCCGTCGGCCCTTTCAGGTCCTACATGTGTCTCTGTTTTTGAAAGTGTCCCAAAAATTGGTGGTTCTGAAACCAACTGTTCGTTTGCTGTTTACTTTAACTTTTTTGTTTGTTTTTTTTTTTATTTTTTTACTTTGGTGTATCTTTAATAACGTTGAAATGAAAACAATTACGCAAAAATTTGCACTAAAAATTGGCACTAACTTTTGGTTTTGTTCTTTTAACCCCCTTTCCTTTGTTTTGCTCTAACCACAATGATAACGCAAATAGTTTTAATCCATTTGTGAGTATTGCTTAAATATATATTTATCCAAAACACTTTCTAGGCATTTTCAACTGGTTTCATAGCCATAATTCATCCCCCTTTATGACATTTGTCCTTTTTTTTTATTATTGAAGCTCTAGTTATATGATTGCCTTGCAGTTTTCTTCAACTTGTAAATATGTTTAGTTAGTTTTTGCTTTGTTTACTTTTCTTTTTCCTCAATTTTCCAATTATTCGGTAATTTGTTTAGGTGCGACTGTGTTGCCTCCCTTTCGCTTGTGTCTGCAGATTAGCAACAAAATCTCAGGGGCTAACCGAAGTGCAACGCAAGTCTGAACGCCTCAAAGTTTCGCCTAAAAGTATGCAACGAAACCAATGGGGAATGAACTGCCCGATTAACTCGTATGTAGCTTTGGTTTCTCTGGGATCTTTGGCACCTTCTAGCAATAAAACTGCGAATACAGCCAATCTGGCTACTTACTTATGTGGAAATGATTACGCACATCTATATGGTTTAGTATTGTTTTTTGTTTTTGGTTTTGGTTTTCGTTAAATAAGCTCCTTTAAGTGCTTTGCGTTGAGCAAATGTGAACATTTAAATACTTTTGTGAGTAACTGTCTGGCGACTGTGAATCCATTGAAATTCGTATAATTCCTATGTGTTGTTCCCCGAAAAAAGCAAAGAATTTACTCTGAGTTCTCGTTTGTGGCTGCTGTTGTGCTTTTGGCCAGTTAAAGTCGGTATCTATTGTTCGTCTTCTGCTCTGTCTGCTACCTCATTGTTTTCATTTGTTATTCTTTTTTTTTTTTTTTTGGCACAAATTGCGTTTTACTCCCCTACATCTTAAGAGATTTTTAGACGTTGCTAGATTTACGTAACTTCTACAAACTCCGGGGCTTAATTAAAAGGTTTGCTTAGGTTTTGTCTTTACAATTTAATCTTATATTTAAAATATAAGTTGATCCCAATTGTTCAGTTTTATCAATTTTATGCTGCATATTCATTCTTTTCGTCTTCTCCAAAGATGAGATTAAGAGAGAGTCCGAAATGCCAGACAAATAGTTTGCCCTTTGCCCCCTTATTTAACCCTCATGCTGGCTAACAAGGAAATGCAGTGATCTTCTTGGCCTTCGGTTCCCATTTTTGGATTGAGAGATCTTCAACTTTATTGTTACACATATACAAACACACACATATACATAAACATATACATATGCTAGTTTCATTGAAAACACCTGTGAAGTTTAAGTGTACTGCCTGCGCCAATATCTACTCTGTCCGGTCCGGTCCGTCCAATCCGATTCCAATACCCAGGCATACGTGTACTCGTAGATACCTATGTGTATTGTCTGAAGAAGCTATGATACCCTGTTTCTGCTGTCTATATGTATGCACGCATGTGTGTATGTTAGTGGTTAAGTTGTTGCTCTACGTAGGTTTATAAGATATAATGCTCGATATTTGGTTTTGCTTTGATTCGCTTTGTTATGCTGAGAAACCTTAGATGTTTCGTATATTTCTAGTGGCAACGGAACGAGAGCCCCTTGGCCCCGGCCAATGCCTAGGTGTTCTTCTATTAATTCTTCAATTGCTTTGATGAATTGGAATACACGTAGTTATATTTCCCCTTAGATCTTCGCTCCCTAATGTGGCAACCGAAAAGGAATACTCGTATGTGAGTAACAGAATCGAATAACAGGATTGCTAGCGTTCTATCGTGTCCTTCCAAAATCTCTAGAGTTTCCTTAACAATTCTAACACCGATATTTAGTTAGTTAAATACACATATATTTGTTCATTACTTAGACCCGATCTCCCATTTCTCTCTCCCTATCTCTGCCTCTAAATTAAAACTCTGCTCGTATAATTTCTTGTCTTTTTTTGGATATTAAATAAGAATATCTAAAATACCTTAATGTTAAGTTTCATTTTTGCTTTATATTTGTATATAAATATGTTTTTTTTTTGGATTGGTTTTCCTTTATACTGTTTTTTTTTATACTCTTTTCCTACAGTTGCGTTTTTCTTTAACAATGACCTTGCATCCATCCAACGATCCATCATTCATTCGACCGATCGAGTGCCTTAAATGCTTTTACGTTTGTTGCTTATTGTGTAGAGTTCTTCGACATGTATTGTAAAAATGTGAGCAAATACATTCAAGTGACTTGTAATTACACTGAGAGAAACATTAATATGTGTGTTCGGTTTGCTGTATATGTATATAATTTGAATAATATGTTTGCTTCTGTTCTGGGTATTCATTTGCTCGGGCTAATTGTTGATATTCTCTTGGGTCTCAGTGTCGCATCCACTACGTGTGTACTTGCAGCTAAGTTCGGTGCCAACTGAATCCAAATCAGAATCGGAATCGGAATCAGAATCTGACTCGAATTCAAATCGAAGTGCATCGGACTCGGATAGCTTTGAGCACTTGTGGGTCACCACGTGTCGCTAAAAGGGATAAGTTCTTATGTCGAAACGATAGTACGATAGTATAACTAAGCTTATCGTATCATATCAGCGGGCTCTATCAACTGATCCAACCCGATCTGATCGGGTCGATCTTGGAAGAAGAGCTCCTGGGAAGTGGAAGTATCGAGAAGAAGAGCGGGAGAAAGGAGGAAAAGGTGGAAAACTCACATGCCATCCAGTTAAGTACTGAGTTCGCTGAGGGGGGCAGGCAAGGCAGGCTAGAAGAAATTTGCTTGGTTTGGTTTTTAAGGCACCATTAAAATTGCTTTTCTTACACGTATTTTTCCTTTGCAAATTTACAAGTTATCAACAAAATGTCGTTAATAATTACATTAATTACACGCATATTTAGTAAAAATTGTTTGTGAAATCTGTTTGAGCTATTTCTCTTATACACACATACACATAAATTAATTATCCCTTTCATTTCATTTTGTTATTTTACAAATAATCCCAGTTAGCCACTGTTGACCCGTCTATCTCCGTAGCCGCCCTCGTCTTTTTTTTTCAGAGTTTTTCTTTGTCATTTTCTTTTTTTGGTTTTTTTGTGTAACTTGCGCAAAAAATTTACTAAATATTTCAAATACATTTAAATACAAGTGTACATAATAAGTATATATTTAATTTATGTATATTTATATATAGATATATCATTTATTTATATATAGATATACGGTTTCTTGACTGATTTCCCACATCTGCCTCTCAGTATTTTCTGTTTTATTTTCCCTCCGTTCCAGCTTAAGTTGGGAACCGAAGTTCTTGATTTCAAAATGATTGCTTCAAATTGTTTGTCGTCAGCGAAATATATTTGTCACTAAAATCACGAAATAGTTTCGCCATATGATATCATTTATCCACCGCCTGCCTGTCTGGCTTGATCCTCCGTTGGTTGATCGGTATTTTGAAAGAGAGCAGCTAACAGCTAGGCCCGTCTTGTTGTGGTTTATTTGTTCAATTAATTATACTTTTACTCTTTATGCTATTAACAATTTCCTGTAATCAAGTTTTGTTGTCTCATAAGTTTGTCTTTCTTTAGTGAGCGCAAGATGTTAAACAATGTGTGAGGCTGATGAAACTGAAGATCAATTACGGGTGTTGAGGCTGACAAGAGAAGTTGGTCAGGGGAAATAACTTTGAATGCTTCTTTAATCAATTCCTCAAGTCAAAACCTACACCGCGACTAAGTGTGGGTTAGTTATAAATCATAGATGTCTATAAGATAGATTCATGCATTGCGTTCTCTGGGATATGTTTGCCTTTATATGTAATGTTTGGGTTTATAATTTGTTCATCTTTCGGTTTTTGTGTTTGGTTAATATAATAAGTTGTGGTTAGATTGGTTTTCGTTTGCAGTGGATATGTTTTTTGTTTTCTTTATGCTTTGATAAATCCTCTTACTAAATAATTAATATGTATAATAAAATTTGACACATTTTGCCATTTGCAAACTGATGCTCTCGCTTTCACCTTCGGCTTTCGACACCGTTTAGCTCATGTCCAGAGGCTTTATTGTGAATTAGTGTTTAGTATAAGTAACTAAATGTTTTAGTGTCTCTTAATATAATCTTTCTTGTTTTTGTTGTTGCTTTTGTTCTTGTTTTTGGTTTTAACTGCCCAGCCTATGAACTAAATTAGAATAAAATTAATTTAATTTTAACATTGAAAATCAGTTTATTTTTGATGTTCTCTTTTGTCGTGGTTCTTTTTGTTTTGTTTTTTAGTTTTGTTTTGCGTGTAAATTTAACAGCTAATAAATTTAAATTATACTTTAATTTAAGCATAATCGTAATATAATATTTAAATCCATTTCTCGTTTTTCTCAACGCTTCTGAAAAAGTCTTTTTAATCGCCGCAAAAGTGCTTAAAAATTATTATTGTAACTCAAATTGTTTTCGCTAATTTGTAAGTAGATTAAATGTGGTTTACCACTCAGCAGTAGGCATTTCACTATAAACCAAACGAAAGATACTACAACGCCTTTGATAAGTCATTCAATCGGAAATCCCTTTGCTAGTTAGAGTTTCGCTTATCAAAGTGCTTTTGTGTTGTTGCTGTCAACAAATTAAATCTAATTTTGAATAAATGAGTCCTTTCATTTGACAATAGAAGATAATAGAACGAAAAAAAAAGAGAGAGAGATATCTATTAATTAGTCCATAATGTTTATGTGTAGTTTACTTGTAATTAATAAACAGAATCAATTTTGCACATCAGTCTAAACATATTCAAAAATCACAAATACAATTTCGATAACAATTACCATAATAGAAATAATAAAATAAAAATTATCATATCAATATACGCCGTGTCTATATACTCGTATAATATATATATGTTTACATATAAACAAACAACTAACAAACGCAAACATCGATGCTAGATGCAATTTGCTGTAAATATAATTTATGTTGTTGTGTCTGTCTGTCTTTGCTTGCTTTGTTTCTTAGATTGTTTGTTTGTTTTTTTGCTTTTTTGTTGTCTGTTCAATGTCTCTTTCGTGTACGTTCTCTTTACGCTTAACCTTTTCTTCATAACTTTCTGCTTGTTGCTTCCTTTTTGGTCATGCTCGTGCACAAATTGTTGGCTTAGAATTAACTGCATTTTGAAACTTCTGCCTTTTCGCAATTTTTTGTATTTTTGTATTTTGTAGTTTTGGATTTTCGTATTTTTGTTTGTTTATGTGTTTATGTGGTTAATTGATTTTTATACTTTTATTTTGTCTTCATTTTGACTAATCTTACAATTAATTGCTGTTCTGTTCTTACTTTGGGTGGCCCCCACGGCGCGCGCTGCGCCGGGCCCCGCGAAAACGGTTTAACATAAAAGTTCTTGTATTTGTTTGCCCTTGCGTTTAAAACTTAATGAAAATATCATAATTAATAAGAATCAATGAATAAATATAACGTGTATGCATGTATGCTTCTCTCCGAGTCTGTCTATGAGTGTGTCTGTGTGTTGGTATGAGTGTAATCTTTTCAATGTGTGATCGCTGACAGTGTCGTGTGAGTTATGTTCTCCTTATTTCTCCTTTTCCTTTTCCGTTTACGTTTCCGTTTCCGTTTTTGTTATGTATATTGCTTATGATTTAACATTTGACGTTTCATGTTACTCCTCTGCTGCTCTTCTCCTCTGCTCCTCCGCCGGTGTCCTCCAGTAGCAGTACTCCTCCTCATCCGCCTCCTCCGGCACCCTTAGCTGCTGCCGTTGCGGTGATGGTGATTGTTGCATTTAGTGAATGGGTGTTTTAACAATTGCACTGGGCGCAATATAGTGGTAACCGGGTATGGGCAGACCAGCAGTCTCCATTGATATTCTGAAAGGCAATGGAGGAGAGGAAAGTGGCATTAGAAGTTGGCCATAAAGTGTCTTAGAACTTCCCCCACCGAACGGCCATTCGCTTCCCCCGACTAAGAATGAACATGGGGCACCCCCTTGTGGTTCTTCATTTTAGTATTCATTTTTCACTTTATTACAAACTTGTGTGTTTTCCATCATGTTTTCATTGCATATAAATAGTTTTGCTTTGTTTCTGACGCTATTGCTGTTCCATCTGCTGCTGCTGTTGTTTGTTGTTGTTGTTGTTGTTCTACAGGTAAGCCTTTTCTAGGTGTGTCTCCGTTTTTGTTAATGTCAAGAAGTATTATTATTCATTCGTAAAGGATTCTCATGTTATGATGCGTTATTCCTTTTACTGTTTAAACTACTTTCGTGTTAATGAGCCGTAATAAGTATGTTCGCATATATGTATGTTGGTATGTAGGTATGTAGGTATGTGGGTATGTATGTAGTATGTAGATGTATGTATGAGTAGTTAGGAATATAATTTGGTTATAAAATCGTAAGCCCGCTTAGCTTAATGCATAATGTTACATAATGTGTCATTGGCCTTAGGACTACTGGTAAGGGTAAACGTAATAATAAGAAAATCATATCGAGTTCCATTAAAGTAGCTACAGCAATTTCGTGTACTTTAGGTTAAAGAAAATTCAATTTCCAAATACTTTTCAACATTATTTTCGACCAATTCAAAAGTGTTTTGGCTACAAATAATAACAAAAATTTACATTCGCGTAATAAATACAAAATGGGGAGGATTGAGAAAGTTGCTAAAACTAACAAATAAGGATCTATAAACAATCGAAGACTTAAAGTCTAATACATGATAACGTTTTTTCTTCACTTCTCATTCAAAAATTCTCCTCCTACCGAATATGATTCTCTGGCCGCCTTTTCATGGCGCTTTTCATGTTTTTCATTTGTTTTCTTTCTCTGTCTCAGTGTGTTCGTTTTTCTATTCAAATAGTTGGTTTTTGTACGCTCATTGCGTGGATTGCGTCAATTAGAGCGAATTGGTCCATAAAGGTCGTTGATCCCCTTCGCTCGGAGTTCGAATCTCGTATCTTCGCCTCGGGGGCTCAACGCACTGGAATTTCATCTTTGTAAACTTCTTATAGAAGGTTCTTTTACTTCATATTCTGTCGGCTTCTTGCCCACTTGCTCCACTGAGGCTGCTTCTCCTGCTCTCGACAAATGGCTTTTGGGTCTTTATGCTTAATGATTAAATATAATCGTATATATATTATATATAGGGAAAAATACGTTTAGTGCTTACGATCTAGAAGAGTACAATGGATTATAAGATATTGGAGCGTGTTTTATGTTACAATGAATGGATTGGGAAAAGGTTGTTGGCTCTTGAGGATAAATTTATGCTCGGTACCAGCTCTATATCGATAAACGGTATTCGACTCTGATATACGAGTAATCGAGTACGCGATCTAATCTAATCTAAAGCTTCAAAGAACGATACTAGGGGATGCGCTAAAATTTGGCAAATTCTGTTATGTGGGCTACATTTATATGTATATGTATGCCCATGTATATATGTTAGTAGGCGTTTATCAAAAGTTTGGGGTCCAAAATCTATAGCGCCCCGTAGGGTCCTTGGTCACTTGGTCAAAATATCTCGATCGGGCCATACTCAGATGACCCCGTCCTTATATATTCGATACACAATATGGTTTAAGTGCTTGACTTCTGATCTCTGATTCTGATTCTGATTCTGATCGATTAATTATATATCTAGCTGCCCTATACGGCCGATCTACGTGTGACTGCTTATTGTTGCTGGTTAGTTTTTCGAAAACATTGATTAATATTACATAGACCCTATGTCTGTCTATCGATTACTTGGATACTGTGCTTTAACTAGATGTAAAAGTTGTCTTGAAACTTCGAATACGAATCTGAATACATTATGAATACGTTAGTAGCCTGTTAGCATACCACATAAGTTTAAAGCGAATTTATACAATTTTGTTTCTTCTTCAAGAATCTAAAGTCTAAAGCTTTCGCAACGCTATCATGGAAATCCTATAAAACTAAGCGACTATAACTCCACTGCTCTCCGGCTGGTGCAGCTGCAGCCCTACTCCTAGTATGGGTTGAACTTGTTGCGCGGCTTCTCCGCCTCGCCGCCGGTCTCCGTCTGGTGCTGCCGGAACCGAGAGGTGGCATAGTGGCCCTTGGCCCGGTTCACACCCGTCGTCTGCACTGGCGGTCCGCCCGGAGTACCGCCGACTCCATTGTTGTTGCCCAGTGTGGTCAGGTTGAGCAGATCGAGGGCGCTCAGGTTGGACAAGGCGCTCAGGGCACCCGGCTTGGTCAGTAGCTGCAGGGCCGAGGCCAGAGGACTGGACAGAGCGGCGGCGGCAGCCGTATTCACTCCGACTGATCCGTTTGTTGTCTGGCTACCGTTGGCACTGGTGTATCCTGTGGCGGAGATGCTGCCATTGGTGCCACTGCCGTTGGCCGCCGGAGTAGTGCCATTGGTGGGCCCTGCAGCACCTGCTCCCACGACTCCTGCGCCAGCGGCAAGGGCCACTGTCGCGATAGCTCCATTCGTGCCCGAGGTCGGAGCTGCTGCTCCCGAGACCGCAGCCACTCCGGCAGCAGCAACTCCGGGAGCGGCGGCAGCACCGCCGTTCTGCTGGGCCTGGGCCTGCTCCAGGAGATTGGCCTTCTGCAGCTCAACACTGTGGACGAGGTTCGGTTAAGGTAGATAGAAAGAGAGAGAGAAAGAAAGGAACAAATTGGGATATTGTCGGTATTTGTTTCGGTTTCTTTTTGCGTTTTGCAGGTGATAGGTATTTTCAAAACATTTGGTTCTTTTTCGATTTTGTGGAATTGAGTTGGTTTTTTTTTTTTTTTTTTTTTTTGGATCTTTTCTCGATTCTTTTCGTGTTTTGTTATGCAAAAGGTTAAGGAGGTTTTGTGTGGAGGAACGGTTCGGAGTTAACGGAGAGAGAGATAAAGAAGAAGAGCTTATTCAGCGATTTTGGGGGGGTTTTGGTGGGAGAGCGGCGTTCAAATTTTGGATGGTAGGAGTAGAAAACTTTTGGTGAGCTGTTCGCTTTTTGTTTTGTATGGGGAGGCATGGACCGAAAGAGTTGTTTGATTTGGAGGATGAACTAGGTGGTGGTGGGATTCGGCTGGGTCGGTTTGTTTTTTGGAGCGGGAAGTGAGGTTTTGGATCGTTTTGGAGTTGAACTGCAGTTTGAAGTACCAATTGGATCAGGTCCAGTTTTTTTTTTTTTTTTGTTTTGTCATTTTCAGTTGTGTGAAAAGTGTGCGATGCGTAGATTAATTCGGTGCTGGCCTCATCATCCTCATAATCATCCGCCTCCTGCTCATCCTCGGATTTGGCCGGGGCCTGCTGAACTTTTATATTATACATGGTTGGTTGGTAAGACTAGATGCTAGGTTTATACAGTTAGATATTTATAGTTTTCTATTAGCTAGAACAGTTGGTTAGGCTAGCGTTCGATGCGAACTAAGATCTAGGGGTGTGAGGGTGGAAAATTATACGATTTGTGGTGCTAGTTTTGGCATTGCCGGGCTTACGACTTACAGGCTAGGACATGTGTGTGGCTTAGGCTACGTACGGAAATGTGTTAAATCGTCCCTAGTCCCCTCCCGCATCACCATTTCACCATTTAAACCCATACACCACCCACCCACCCACCTCCCCGGGCCTCGTCATGGTCTGGACAGACATTTGAACGCACCGCCACTCCGCGACTGAGAGTTGACCTACGACCTACGACCGACGACCGAAGACCTCCTTATACCTTCTTTCTTTCTTCTTTGTCAATTAGCAAGTCAATTCGACAAAATTGATGTTAGACAAAAACACACGCAACAGACGCTCACACATACAAAGAGATAGCTGATGAGAGGCTGGACAAGATCGATAGACACTCACCTCATATTGATTAAGTATTGGGCCAGAGCCACCGAGTCCGGATTGCCGCTGATGGTGATGGTGCGGTCGGTGTTGCCGCCCTCGCGCTCCTCGCAGTTGGAGATCCGGATCATGGCGCCGGAGATCTGGCGGATCTCGGCGATCTTGGTGCCTCCCTTGCCGATGATGCAGCCGATCAGGTCGTTTGAGACGGTCATCTCGTGCTGCTGCTGCTGGGCTCGGTTCGCGGGATTCGCTGTACGCAGTTGCGACCCGGCCAGGGCAGCCAAGGCTGCTGGGGCAGAGCCTAGATTAGATTGGAAATCTGTCTGGCATCTGGCCGCAGAAGCGCTCAACTCACCTGTGTGGTTGATGCCCCCAGTGCTGGCCGGATTCATCCCAGCCAGGCCCAAGGCGGCCAGACTGGCCAGCGGGTTCTTGGCCACCTGTTCGCAGAGCGGGACGAGAGGACGAAATGCATTAGATTGGATTAGATTCCGATTTCACCGACTTCTTTTGAGGGTTTCGTGGGTTAAGGTGTCTGTGTATGTATACAGTTGGGTTAATTATAATCTATTTATCTGAGGGCGGGGTCTGTATTGGGGGAGGGAAGAGATCACAAGATCACAACACAACGCGCGTCAACTTCCAGTAACAGGTAACGCAGATGGAACATAACAAAAGGGTGGTAGTCGGAACGGAAACGGAAACAGGAACAGAAACGCAAAAGCATCAAACAAATAGTTACAAGAACAGAATGCAGTAGGCAAAAGCAAACGGGATACAAGATATACTCCATCTTCAGCTCTTTTTACATACACCATCGAGTGGACTGTGGCGGGGATTGTGTTTCTCTTTGTACATGGAGCCAGGAGTTCGGCAATGGATGTGTGTAAGTATTTTTGTGCAGTGTAAGCTGATGTGTATGGATCTGGCTTCTCCGCTGTCTAATGTTCTTCTTCTGTGTGTGTGTATTACTTTGGTTTACGGTTGCTCTACACAATTTACAAGTTGGCTTTACAAAATATATATATTATATAAAGGAATAGAGACATATAGATGGAGGGACAAAGATAAATAGAGAAAGAGAGAGAAATGGTTGACACATTGAATAGATTTACAAGGGATACACCTAGGAGAAGCTTAAGCTTGACAACTAACTTAATCTGAGACTGCATTAATATATCTTTGATGTTTGCATTTGAGTTTACTACGAAAAGTATGCTAATGAAAATGATTTCCTTTACACAGCTTCCTAAATCTGGGTTAGGTTGCCCTTCCTTGAGGCGGAATTCAATGCATTCTGAAGTTGCTTCTTGTTTTTGTTGTTTTTATCTTTTCACCAATAACACCTACAGCAAATAGCATACACACACTGGCAGGCACGCACACATGTGCATGTAATCTGGGACTCGAAAGGGTGAAGAATTGAGGGTGACTTTGGGGCTTAGGCGGAATAGTGAAGGGAGAGGTGTGGAGGAGTGGGACTATGCACGCGCTCTATAAATTAATCAAATCAAATGCAACACTTGCAAATATGTTTCGAATAATTGCATCCGAATGCAGCTTGCAGCTGAGGGAGAAAGGGAAAGGGAAACGGTGGCAGATGATATACTACAGAGGAGAGCGCACAAAAAAGAGGGATAGAGAAAATCTCAAATAAATCATACAATATTGAAATGCTTTGTGTGCTTTTATTTCTGTGTGCATGTGAGAGTGGGCCAGATGCAGCTGTATGTGTGCGTGGGCTATGTGGAGGTTCCGTGTGTTTGTGTTTGTGTGAGAGCTTAGGAAACAAGAACTGAAATATTTATCAAAATGCAATACGAATTTCAAATGAAACAAATAAAACATGCGCATGGAAATATTTTATGACCCAAAAATGAATTGCAACTCAATAAAAAGTTCAGTGACAGGGAGGGGCAAAAAGAGAGTGGGGCGGTAAGGGGGGAACTACAATGGATTATCTAGCAAAAACTGTCATAAAAACTTGTGTGTGTTGGCATATTAACAAACACTTCTTGCCAAGCACACACAACAACACGTACATACGCATACACACAGATACAGAAAGAGATACAGATAGAAAACAAGTTGAAACAGTTTTCCAAGACTACGAAAAACTTTAAGTTTGCGAGGAAAGAGAAGGGTTGGGGGACCATAAAGTGCATTTTTTGATGACTCTTGGCTGGGATAAAGGGTTCGCTTTGGTCCTCGGATTCCAAGTCCCCTTGGTCTGATTTTTAGTGTGACTTCGCCCAACGACTTTGTGGCGGCAACGACTTCAGGGACCTGGACCTGGACCTGGACTTGGACCAGGAGCTGCACCTGGCCCAATGCTAATATCATTGAAATGCGGCCAACGGTTGCGCCGACGGGGGATCGTAAAAGAAATGTCAAAGGTAGTAAACTGGGTATACAAGCTACAAAAACCGGAACTTGGGGCTACGGAGGAGGTTGCTACGGCGGGTAGAAGTACAACAGCAACATACGAACACAACTACCTACACTCAGAATGAAACTGGTGATTTGACTTTACCGAAATCAGAACAGTGTTTATGAATTTGACATCTACTAATTACGTTATATCATTTTACTTGAATTTCTATTAGGTTATGGAGTTTATTTTACACTCTTGGAATACAATTTGTATTAAAAATAGAAGTAGGTAATGGTTAGAGTCACAACTTTAAGTATAATGAAATGAAATAACAAAAAAGGTGGTTTGCATATCTTAAGAATAAACCAAAAATCTGTAATTAATCACTCTGAGTAACATTTATTCTTTATGAGGTTGTTCTTTGGTTAAAGTTTGATTAAAAAACTAAAAATTTAAATTGAAATGATTCTTCTCAGAATTATTGTTCATAAGGCAACAGCAGTTAACCCTGAAAACTTCAAAAGTTTGTTGGTCAAAGGCTCAAGTTTTTTCTGAGTGCTTGATAGTCTAGTGTGAGGGAGAGAGTGCAGGCAGGTGTCAGGGGGCGGTACATCAGCATGCTCTGCCTGGCGGAGTTGGATTCTCGGGTCATGTTGCGTTTGATTATATTGGTTAAACGAGTACAGTTTCTTTCAAGAGTCTGGTGGAGATATTGGTGTTCTTGAACCGAATCGCATCGATAGCTTAAAACTCACATCGGGCATTTGCTGTAGGTGATGGTGGTGTGCTGGTATCGCTCCTTGTAAATGTGCCCCCTTTAACAAAGGATCCGCCAAGCCTGAGATACCAGCATGTAGACCGCCGGTAGCCAGGGCAAGTGGAAACACTGGACAGGTCTATGTTCGATTGATTGATTGATTGATTGATCATTACGGTTGTGTGTGTGTGTGTGTGTGTGTATATGTGTTCGGTGTGCGTGTGAGGAGTTACAATTTTGATTTCGTGTTTTATTGTTTTGCGAATCAAATCATGTGGCCAAGGAAGAAAGAAAAGTAGAAGAACGAAAATTGTTTACCACGAATAAATGTCTTTCGGAACAAGTTGATTAAGATCTTAACTTTTTAGTTGCTATGGAGAGATGTAAGCTTATCAGATACATGTTTAAATATAGACGTATCGCTAGAGAAACTCTTGGAGAAAGCTTTCGAGACGTGTGTGCAGTTTCTGGTGTAGATTCGGGGGGTTTCTCAACGGGGATGGTTGCAACGCAGAACAAAGTATAAATGATTTCGGGGAAATGACATACTAAAAACAAATGATGACAGCTAAGAGGAGGGGCAGAGAAAGGGCTTCGTCTTCAAGTGGGACGTTTGGGGACTCCAGGAACCAAGGGGCAAACCACGTCATAAAGGACTCTAAGAATGTGGGTCTACTAGAGCAGGCCACATGGTGATGCCATGTCAAATCGCAGTCGCATTGGGTACTCTAACATCGGGATTAATCTATGTAAAAATACATATAACAGCAGCTCAAAAGCTAACCCACCAAACTGTACCCAATGTAAACCAAAATTGACAACTGCGGGGGGATTTTACACACTACACGCTGCATTTGGCTAACGAAGTTTAGACCAACACCGACAATAACCGGGACAGGAGGAGAGTGTGAGAGAGAGAGAGAGCGATTGTAGGACAGACAGAGAGAGAGAGAGAGATGGTACAACTAGTTTTTGATTTATTAAATTTTTTCTGGACATTAATTGAATTTGATGCGACAACAAGAACTTTGTCTGTTTTAGTTTTGAGAAACTTTTATTTTTCGTCAGGGCAATGGCTGGCGAGGGGGGCTCTGAAGGGCGGTGGACTGAACTGAACTGAACTGAACTGAACTGAACTTTACTGTGCTGAACTGTACTGTACTGCACTGGACTGACGGTACTGGGGCTGCAATGAATTGGATTGAATGGAAATTGTTTGCTGTTTGTTTTGCTGTTGTTTGCTGTTTCCTGTGGTTCTGTAGAGCACAAAATTCAATTTTGGTTCGGGATTTTTAACAGAGTTATAAACAATATTTATTGATACTGATGGAGAGAGAGAGAGAGAGAGTGGCGAGAGAGTGTGAGATGTGAGGGCTCGGGCAGGATTGGAACAGTATGCCATTGTTATAATTGCTAATTGCGTGGTTGATCTGGTGAAAGCTCATCTAAATATGTCGCCTTTTTGTTAATTGGATTTACCCGGTGTACAGCTACGTTCGAACGATTGACTGTACTACACACAATCAGGAGAGTTATCGAGAGAACGCAGGACGTTGGCAAGTAAGTGTATATAGTACTATATAGATGGGTGTTGAGTTAATCAATACTCGATACGATACGATTAGTTAGCTGGCACTCGAGGAGGAGTTTAATATCTTTGTGGATCTTGTTGTGTGTCGAGGTATTTGATTAATAGATGTTTACTGTTGGACTGGATAGATATGGCGGATATATGTAAGTAGATGGATGTTGGAGAGAGAGAGAGAGAGAGAGAGAGGTTGACTAGTGTAGTTTGAACATACTTCTTCACACACGCTGCCAGCGAGCCCTCTTCAGAACAGAACTTAGAGACTGAGCAGACAGTGAAGAGAGAGGAAGAAAGAGAGAGAGAGTTCTAGCCCCCGCTCCCCGCGAGCCTTTCTTTCTTTCACACGAACTCACTCGCCTCGCCTCGCCACGCCTTGAACACTTTTCGCTAAGGCGGGAGAAACCCAACGATTCTCCCCTCAGGATGCTGCGGATTCGATTCTCGGAGATCGAAGATTCCCGGAGACTCTAGCAGTGAGACAGAGACAGGTGCCGGGGCAGACTGAGAGAGAGACCGATCGCGCACGTACTCTCTATTCGCAGCCACACGCTCTTAACCTGAGAGAAGAGAGTGCAAAAGAAACTAAAAACAAAACAAAAATACATATTTAAAGTTTATTTGAAAATTGTTTCGTTAATTATTATCGTCGATCGATGGCTGTAAAGTTGGTTAACACATTAGTTCACTGATCGGGGTCACCACTTGGACTTGAAAATAGATGATTCTCATGGGTACGACCATAGGGAGCGGTAATCGGTATCGGTATCGGTATCGGTACAATAGATTGAGAGGTTGGGTTTAGAAGGGTCAAAAACGGGTCACAAATCGAAGGAGGTTCTTCTCTGGACAGCTATCGAGGGTCTCCAAGTGAAGAGTTTACGGAGAAAGAGGGAAAGGACTCGTGGACGGTGTTGCAAATTATAATCGGGGTCTAAAGAGACGAGCAGGGGAATCTGGATTATCGGCGGAAACACAAGATAGAGAAATATAGACAGAGAAATAGAGTGACATGAACTGAAAAGATAGATTGGGAGGATAAACAGAAAGTAAAGACGCGCAGTAACCAAAAAGATAGTTGGGCGAGGTCGTGGCAAAATCAAATAGATACAAAGTGGTTTAGCTGGACTTATGTGGGTTCGGTTAAGATAGAGACAGAGCGAGAGATATAGCTGCAGTGGCTGGCAATAGAGTACACAACACTGTTCACTGATCTTAACAACACGTTTAGCCTGGTTTTCTGGGTGAGAACTCGGCCAGACGGTCCGCCTACATACCTCTTGTGTGGGCACTGCGTAGTTTCCTTGAATGGTGAAGGCCTGTCCATTGGCCAAGATGACGGGTCCAGTCACCTGTGGCTTCGGTCGGTACGGGATGGTAGCACCGCGTGGCGGGGACTGTCGAGAAAGGGATAATTGGTGAGTGGAATCGGAAATGAGCGTACACATAAATTCTTCAACTTTACTGTCAGTTCAATACGGACAGGGCCTCAGAATTCACTAGTCTTGCAATCAACTTAAAATGGCTGCCTAAAAGAATGCAATGATAAATGTAAGCTTGTATATCGTTGCATACTTTCAGACTGTGTTACTAACGTTTTTATAACCATAGTAATTTCTGATGCCTAAAGTTTGAGTCATTAGTCTAGATAGAAAATAATAAGTCGCCGACTCACCTCCAACATGACAAGACATATCTGATAGATGCACTGGGTGATCTGCTCGGCACTGCCGCTCAAAGTAACCGCACGCTCTGTCGAATTGGGCAGCATTTCACTGGCCACTTGGATGGAGCAGCCTGTGGTCTGGCGAATTTCCTTGATCTTTGAACCACTCTTGCCTGCCCCCCGAGTGCGAATAAGAAGCATTAGTGTTGATCACTGGAGATAGCCATTACAAAGCACTTACCAATTAACGATCCACATTGACTGGCGGGCACAATCAATCGAATGGGTATTTGAGTTTTGCCAACTTTGCCTACATCATTGAACTGCGAGCACCACTGAAACGGGTCAGAAGTTAGTAATGTGATCCAGAAATGATTGGCTGTGGGGACGTCTCGTTGAGGGCCCTGCTAGTTGTAGCGCACACATACCTCTTCGAACTTCTTTGTAATGAGCGTAAATGCCGAAAAGATTGCATTAGTTGTACCAGACACAGTCACAATACGTTCCGGGCACGAGCCATCCGAAATGTTGATTTTGGCACCAGACTAGGGAGGGAATAAATACAGAATTAGATATGTTTCTCTATATGTTAGGGAGAAGAAAGCTTACCTCTTCACGAAATCTGTTGACAATTTCACCCTTTTTACCAATAATACTACCAACTTCCTGCAAAGAAACAAAACACAGAGAATATGTTGAGTATATGTACTTGGGAAACATGTTGCAAAGTAACATTTAAATGCTCTTAAGATGTATCCCGCTGGAGGCCATCAACTTGCCACCCTCCGCCGTCTGCGGACATCAAAAACACTTTAAGCGAGTTTCGCCTTTTTTTTTTTTTGACTGACTCTGTCAGCGGCGATGCTCAAATTTGATTAAATATTAAGTGATATTATGCCGGAGCATACAGCAAAGAGAGGCAGCGTGTGTGTGTAACTACTTTTGCATATTTAATTGCCACAAAAAGCAATTCACACGCGCCACACCCGCCGTCACCCACAGTGGCAACCAGAAAACACATACCCCCACCCAAACCCCAACCCAGCCCCAAGCGAACCCATTTCCCTTTCACAGTCAGTCGCCTGTCGTCGCTGGGACTGTCGCACGTAATGAAATTTGCGGCCAGCGTGTTTTACGCGTTTTAATTGATTGTAAATATCAGCACTGCCACAGCCAGTAACTGAGTTTCCAACAAAAAACCATGGAAAAAAGGAAAGGGGGTGTGGAAGTGGAGGTACTACAATAAGAGAATGGCTGAGAGGGCTCCTGCTTTTGTCCAGCAATTGTTTTACCTTACGCTTCTGAAATCCACCTTTTGGGGGATTCAATATATCAATCATGGTAAATAAGGTTTATGTTCATCCATCATTAAGATATAAGATCAATAGAGTGCTGTCTGGCCGATTAGCTTAAAATTTTAAGGAATAATAATAATAATATGTATATTAAAGAAATTTAAAAAGGAAATAAGCTCTGATAAATATATCAAGCTAGTCAGAGAATAATAATAGAAAACCTTCTCGTTTTCAGAATAGCCAACCAACTTAATTTCTACGTAGCATGCTTGCTATCCCATTTAGATTCAAAACAATTTATTTGGCCATGTTAAAATGTTGCCGTTCGCAGGCATTCAATTCTCTGGCCATAAACCATAGAACAACCTTCACAAATCCAAAGTGCAGCAATCCATTGTGGCAGACTAAAAGAGCACACCCAAGCCAAAGCCCAGCAAATACATCTTGGGGCGGGCAGCTTGCCAGCCAAAATGCAAACTGGGCAAAACAATGTGCGAGGGAACTGCTCCCAAGCCCTACTCCTCTCCTCATCTCCGATCTTGCCCTGACATCATCCGAATTTTTATGCGGTGCTTGCATTCTGGCCACTCTTCGCCAGAATATTTATGCCCACAAGAGCGAAATGGATGCAGGCCAGTTTAGTCGGCTGTATAGATATAGATATTTATTCTACACAAATGTCATGGCGAATTGGCATAATTATTGGCGTAATTATCGTTGGACGGCAGCGAACCCAATTCAGATGCGTTTTTACGCCTGTCTGCACTCATAGACGAATTTCTGGCCGGCCGAGGTAATTTATAGGACAACTTTGCTGCCACAACTTGGCCAGATATGAATTGTATCTGGCTGCGTAAGTGGTACCCAAGTGCGGGGCACGGCCTAGAGACTACGCACTTTCGGTGCCCCTCATAACCATTCAGGTTGATGGCTGCTCATCAGCGCCTCGGTCTCATCATCATCATTAATAATGTGGCCAGAAGCCGCTCTGATGTCCGTCCCAGTTCCCTCCATCCGCCCCCTGCTGCTTCCATTCAATTATCTCGTTGCCATTGCGGGCCAGCTCAGTTCCGTTCAGAAGTTTGCGCAATTTGCATAAATCGGATCTGGCTGACATTGCTTGATCCCATCACATCCATCCCTCCTTCAATCCCCATCTCCAACGGTCAAAGCCATTTCATTACAATGAATAGAGCGAAATTCGGGACTTTCACTTGAATGCATTGATTTGTCCTTTGCCCGTTTTACCCCCTGCTGTTCGCCCTGCCGGCAATTAAATTCCCAGCATTCCGTCATACAACTCCGGCAACAATGAACAATAGCATTTGGCATTTTCGCATTTTCCGATTTCCACATGCGTGCGATTTTCGTATGCAAAAAACACTTTGCGGTCCAGCTGGAACATTTTGGTGCTTTTTGTCGAATGTTTTGGCTTCGGTCCACGTCCACGTTGCTGCTGGCTGGGTTCGGTTTGGATAGCAGCTTGCATAAAATATGCATAGGAAATGTTGACATGTAGGCAGCCGTTTCAGAATGCCAGCATTCCGTTCTGTGGTCAGGAAATAAGTTTTGATTTCGATTGTCCGTTGCTATTGATTTCGTGTTGTATTCCCCACAGGAATTATTACAACTTGCTTGGCCTTTATTGAATACCAGCCTTGAACAAACAATGTGTAAAAAGAGGATAGAATTGGATTTTGTTTTGTAACAGGTTAGATAAGTTGATGCTTTTATAATTTCTTCTTTATTCTACTCCGACCGATTTCGCTCAACGTCAAAGAATTTCCGAATTCCTGTTTCTCTTTATTCTCCTTGCGCTCATCCGTAAGCGAGATAGATATATGTACACGTATTCGAACTCTTATACATATACAAACGGTAAAAAGGAATACAAGTTTACAGTTAACTTGGACTATTCTATTGTACTCTATTTTACAGTGGGTCTCGTAAGGTCATGTATTACATGGTAAACAGTGGGACTTATAAGTATGTTTTCTACCACTATATTATGAAATAATTAAATAAAATATTCCCCAAAGGAAACTGCAGCTCATTCTTCCATTATTCCATACAGAGGTTGTTTTTGGACTATGCTATGGTTGCATAATCGCAAAATATAGATCAGTAAAGACATCTTAAGTTGCTCGGGCACATCTCTTTGTACTTTCCCACACAATATCCAACCAAGCGCAAAATTTGGCTAGTTCCATTTATCACTATAAGACTACCCGAAGATTATGGCAATAACAATGGCCATCAGAGTAAGAAGAAGAGAAGCAAACAATAACTGAAAACGCATTAAAGCTGAGGTCCAAAGAATGGACAACGCTAATTGTGGGCCACAATAAAGGCAGCTGAATGAGGGAGTTGGGGAAAAGAGTTTTTGATGTTAGTGGAGCAGACAGTAAAGACGGAGAAAAGCGAAAAAAGCAGCAACAAGAACAACAAAACAAAGGCAAACAAGCGCGGCTTAGCTCAGACAACAACCCAAAAAAGTTCGAGTACCATGACTGGTCTCATGTTTTTCCCCTTTTCCGATCTTTACGGATTTTGGTTTTAATGTGTGGCGGCGTTGAAAATTGTATAAAAATAAGCGAATTGCTGCAACAAAGAAATCAGCAGCCACACTAACAACACCATCAGCGGCGAAAAATCTCTGGCAGCAATTGCGAAACCGTGAGAACCATTTATGGGAGCTGCTGCTGCCGCCGCTGCTCGGGCAAAGGAAAAATGCAAGAAAAACTTGCCACAAATGTTGGAAAATGCAATCTGACAGGGGGCCGGGGGTGCTCACATATGGCCTGCTGTGGCACACATGTGTCGCCCCTCCTACACTCCTCTACTCCACAATCCGCAATCTCCAATCCCCATCCCATCCAATAAATCATGCAGCGCATTTGTCGCCCTGCAAACTTTTTGTTTCGTATTTTTGGCCGTTGTGCATGTTGCATGTTGTTGTTGCTGCTGCCGCTGCTGCTAGTGGCAGGCAACAAGAAAAAAAAAAAAACTGTACAATTAAATTATTTACAATTTGCCAGGGCCAGATGCAGGACAGGGCCATGCTACGCAGCAAGTGGCAAATTTTAAATTTGATTAAATAACGAAAACAACGCACGGACGAATGAGAAATGTCTCCTGCAGGCGAAGGGAGCCCGGAATGCACTCTGGCGGCCATGCAATCCTAAGTCTTAATTTTAGTAATTGAATTGGAAAGTAAAACCAATGATGGAGACCAACTAATAAACACCGAAAATGGCATTTCTGCCCTTTTGAATCCATTACACAACATTACGGGCAAGCCCCAAAGTCGGACGGTTCGGAAAAAATAGTTAATTAAAATTAGACAAGTGCTTGGAAAATGTGGCAGACTGTGATGAAAATTCGCATAAAGGTGCCGTCGTCGGCGTCGTGCAATTTCACTAATTAAAAATGCATGATTCAAAAATAAGAACAACTGCAACAAATATCTCTGTCTACTGCCCTGACAATTCTAGGCGAGAGAGCAACCCACATTTCGGTTTCTTTTCTATGCAATTTGCGGCTGCTTGCCAAGAAATAAAAAGCCAAAAACCCAAAAAGACAAAAAGGAAAACCCAACAGCAAGCTAAACAAAAGAAAAAGGTGTTTTTCTGCGCACTCTGTCGCGCGATTGCATGGCAAAGTTGTTTATTTTCCCCGCTCTTCCGTTTTCTGTTTTCATTTTTCATAAATTAATTAACTGCATCACGACTTTGGACGCGACTGCATCTGTGACTCTGGCTCTGACTCAGACTGAGGCAGAGTGCGACTTTCGGCATGAAACTAATAAGCCAAGTTAATTAGAAGAGCAGGAAAATATCAAAAATACTTGGCTAACAATGGAAACTTTGGCTCTGGCGTTGGTCTGGCCTTGCAGTGCTTATAATTGTGTCGCTGACTGTATCTTCGTAAGGAGATTTTAAATTTAAATTTCCATTAATGAATGATTGCAATTACGATCGGCTTGCGATTTATTCTATAATGAGTCGGAGTAATCACAAAGCCAGCGAGTTAACTCCGCGTTTTATTCGATTCTCATGCTGGTTTTTCCATTTTTATTTTAATATTCTATGCTGCAAGAGTTTATGAGCAATAAATACTATGTTTTATATCTTTTTCTAATCTAACCAAACCTATCCCAACACCACTTCAGTTTCTTCCCATTAACCTCCCTTAACCTACCTCAAAGCTTCCCACTCTTTGAAGGCAATTAAACAATAGCAACCTCACGGATGCCGAGATTTGTGTCCAATTCAATTTTATGCCAAGTCAGTTGACAGTAGACCGCTGTTTACTCGCCGCTGACATATCTTTCTGCCTGCTCGCCACTTGATTTGCATTGCGCTTCGAATTTATTCACATCTGTGCGGCTGTTGAAAAAATCGCATAAATCATGCTAATCTATAACTATCGATCAAGAGACCAACGACAACAACAACAACTACAACAGACAGCCTCAGTCTGTCGGCGCCGTACAAAAGTGTCTTGGGAATTTATTGCCCGAATCCTTGCGTTGGCAAGAAAAAGAAAAGAAAATCTCAGAAAATGTGCAGAATTTGCATTTACACAATATTTATTCCTATGCTCGGAGACGCCTGCCTTTCTCGCGCTGCCATATTGTGTAAAAGCCGAAAAGTGCGCAATTATTCATGGGATCCGTGATTGGCGGAGGGATGCCCCACCAGGTAGCCATTCCTCGGCTATATGATAGACTTCACCCCTTCTCCATTTTGCCTTAATTTCGATGCTTTCTTTGTCCACTTGGTGGTGGCAGCGGCTGCTGCTGCTGCTTCTGCCATAAATTGTCGCGTCTAAACATATTTCTGGCCTTTTTGCCAATTTTCAGCTACACATCATGTAAAGAGCCCCGCCTTCTGCTCATCCCGCTGCTGCACTGGCTTGTCGCTTATCTGCACCTGTCTTGGCCTCTCAATTGCTCGTGGTATAAAAATACTATGCAACAACGGGCAAATATTTATAATTAAATCGATGCCTGGGCAAATCTAAGGCCTGCTGCGGGAATGGGGCTATAAAAAGATAAATGACAGCTTTGCCAGCGCAACACGTGCTCCAGCTCCAGCTCCAAGCTTCAGCTTCATCCTCCCCATCTTCTGGCCAAGATCTCTCAAGTGGCAAGCCTCTCATCGCATCCCATCTTAGCTCAACTCAACTCAACTAAAGTCAGCTGAACTCGAGAAACCACAACGACGAAGCGGATTTGCGTGACAGCCTTTTCTGGATTGTTGTTGGCGGCTAATGTCGTTGAATAATAGTTTTTAATGGCTGTTGACTGTTATTAAATAAATAAGCAGCTATTTAGTGTCGGTTCTCCTAACTCTTTGTTTAGTGCCGCTTTTATCTTGACTGCTTTGGCTGCCGTGAATCACTGACTGTGGAATACAGAGGCTGCAGTTCAATGGGACTTTGGTTGGGTTATCGCAGTTGATGAGGTAATTTCTGCATTCCCAAGTAATGGCTATTAAAATATGTATTTTTAAATCATTCTGCAGAGAACCCACACCTTTAATCACACATATTAAATGAGCCTAAGTAAACATTGATTAAAAAAACTCGATTGAAACGATTATCGCTTATTTAAGTCAAATGAATTCCCTTTTTCCTGTGTTTTTTCAGTATAAACTTTCGATATAGTTTGTTTTGAAAATGAGTCGCCCTTGGGTGTTTGTGCTGGAAAATTGCTACGAAAACATTTCCCTTGATTAAAGCGCACACAATGCGCTCCTGTCCTCGATGTGTGGTTAATTTTGTCCAGGCAAACATTTAAATATTTAATGTTTCACATGCCATCTTTTTGCAACTGGTTTAACCCGTTGTCCCGCAGGCTGATTTGCTATGTGAAATACCCGCTGGTCCTACCTGTCAGGTGCTCCACCATTTACATATCATATATATACATATATTCGACTTTTGTTATTGTACGCAACGAAAACAATTTATAAATTGCTGTATTTTATTTGTTTGGTTTTTTATTACTCATATCTGGGAGCCGTAATGATTGTTTAATAGCCGATGCCTTACTCCGTCTCGTTTTTATGGTCCTATATATTTATGTATATATCTCTACGCAGTCATATACCAACCAACTCCCCCTCACTTCCCCTCTCAATTTGCCTACCTTCCCGGCATGTCCCTTGCAATCGCATAATGCGTGACGTGGCGCGTATTTAATTTTAATTTGCATACAAAATGCACGCGTTAATTTGTAATTTTTTCATTAATGTTTGCCCTGGCCAGGTTGCCTTTTGTTGGCCATCTCTCTCCCAGCCTGGTTATTGATTTTCGTGCCAATTGAAAAAAGAGGCCCATAAATATTTAAGATGTCGGAGCTCAATGGTGTGCATAAAAGCGTTTATATTTTAATAGACCCAGAGTGGGTGGAGTCGTAAAGGAAGTTGCCCGCTAAGAGTGGGGTTCTCCTTTCAAAGGAAATGTCACTTTGTGATTTCTACTTTACTTTCGTTTAATATTTAATTTAATCTCCACCCACCCACAGCTTAAAAGTTAACAAATTTATCACAAAGACTCTTTCAACTTACCTTTCCTTGCATAATCAGCCTTATTGTGAGTGTCACCGATGGGTCCTCGTGTTTAATGGACGCACCGCCCGCACTGCTGCTCGTGTTATTGTCTTCCATGGTATCTATTTTGCTGGCTTTGTGTTGACGCGGTTTGGATGAAGTGTATCTGGATGTTGACCGTGCTCAGCGGTCTGTATCGCAGCAGTGGTTCTGTCTTTTCTGGGCTCACCTCCGACTAAGTGTTAGGGGCTTTGTAAATATATAACTTTGCTGCTATATACCAATCATAAATGACCGATACATATACTATACATATATAGAGATAGAGATTTGGCTACTTTTCTTCTGCTTGCTTGCGGTTTTGTATGCTTCTCTAGATTAAATTAAATTGGTGGTGTCTTTTGCTAGTCGTACTACGTTGTTGGCTTAAGCTCGCTGCGTTCTCTTTGCCGCTCGAATCTTCCTCAGTGTTACTGTTTCCTCTTCAAATGCAACAAATAATCACGGCTATGAAAATATCTCTTCTGCTTTCCTGCCTTCAGAGTTCTCGTAAGTTTATTGTTGAGCAAAAATACTGTTGCTTAGCTGATGCATTTAGAGATGTACATTTATTGGGTGCCTGTTGGGCTGCAAAGAGAGAAGAGAAAGGTGATGGTTAGTTTGACTTGCATAAATCATTTCAGCATTTCAGAAACGCATTTTCAGAATTTAATTTGGCACTTAAAAATGTCTAATTCTCCACTCGGACCAATAAATCACGAAATTAGCCAAATTAGTTTTGAGCACAAAGTGCCGGCAATGCATTTAATCACATTCCCATGCACAGTTCACGACTTCCGGCACTTTCGGATGAGCCCGACAACAACAATGAGCACGGGAGGGTCCCCAGCCGGACTCGTTCATCATCCACATTTTTCTGGCAGAGAGCTGGCCCCTGTCCTGGGCCTGTTTGTAATTTTGATATGAAATTCTTCGTTCTCTTATTTTTTTGTGATTTTCATTTTTCTTTTTTTTTGAACCTGCGCCAAGTTTTTCCGCATATTCCAAACGATGTGTATGTACTCGGGAATATATCTTTATATATATAATATTGATGTACTCCCGCTGTTGCTGTTGTTGTTGTTGTTGTTGTTGCTGGGACATTTCTTACGCTTGAAATCACTTCATATGCAATTTAGTACAGATACTCGTACACATTTTTCGCTGTCCCCTCCTTATCCTCTCACCCCCTCCTTTCCACAAATTCCCAGCATAACTCGATGTACCCGGTGTACATATGCACATGTACGGATATGTACGAGTGTTGCCGGCGGCATCAGATCAGCACCAGGCAGAAATCATTCCCGGGGGGCACAAGAAATATTTGCGCAGCGACCAACGCGATGACTACCAAAAGCTTCCTGTCATTTCCCTCGGCTCCATCCCCTGTCCTCTGCCTTCCGTCCTCCGCCCTACCCATCTGGGGAGTCTGATGGCAGAGTTGTTTATGAAATTATGCGCACTAATTCCCCATGTAACGTTCGCTCCACTCACCTAGACAGAAAAAGCCAAAAACTGACAGCAATACAATTCCGAAGCTTAGACTCTACACCAAAAATGCGCATAATTTGTCCGAGTCTGCTGCACTTAACATCTGACAGGATAACAGGAGGCAAAAAAGAAAACCTGGGCACGGCCACGCCTAATTTGAATGTTCCGGTCAGAGGTTATTTCTATCCTATTCGGGGGGAGGCCACAAGAACCAGATTAAGTGGTGATTAATGCCAGGCCAACTATGATGCTGTTTATGCAAATTGAAGAGCCGATAAAGAGTAGTTATCCACTGACGGTACATATAATTGTGGTTTCTCTTTAAATCTATTCATATTAAAGCTGGGAATCAAGCTGAAACTGGCATTAAAGTGTAATTTAGATCCCATTTCCCAAAGAATCTGACCAAAAAGCTTTTGTCAGAAGGCAAGCGATGCGGAGCTTTAAATCAAAAGTGTCATGAATGTATAATTACAGGACTTAGATTCTCGGAACCCTTTTAGCAGCCATCTGCCCGCATCAAAGATGAAAGTAAATTAGAAATTACATTTCTAGCTCCATCCTGTCGCACCCACGTGGGTATTCCATTCCCTAACAGGCCTGGCAATATGTAAATTGCACCTACAGGTATGACAATGGAGCCACCATTGGAAGCCAGTCAGTTTCCCCCTCCAGCCCATGTTAATATCTATTGCTCGGCACTGGGGAACGCCCGCAGCGATGTCTTAAGGTTGCACACCGGGGAATACCGCAATTGAAGGTCGGAGGAGGAGGAGTTACCCAGCAGGAGATGGCAGGACAACAATGACAGTTCTGGTTGCACACAATAGGGGATTTTGTAAGGAATGGGTTGGGCAGGACAGGACAGGAAGAGGAAGAGAGAGTGGCAAGTGTCCACGGCAAGTGCAATAAAATAATAAGTTCCGTTGCAAGAAATGTGCATTCTTTGCATTGCCCAGACAGGATGAGCTGAGAAAAATGAAGATGTCTCAGCAGAGCTCCATTATTTCATCTCCTCCTCCTTCCACTCTCAACTCATTATCAATCATACGCACTGTCTTACAGACAGACTCCGGCTTCGACTCCGACTTCTTTCCCACTTTTTAATGACTTTTTCTTGGCGGAGTAGCAGCAGGAGCAGGCGCAAGAACAGGAGAAGTACTAGCATAACTAGTTTTCTTTTAATTAACTCGACATATAAATGCCAATGTCTGTGATGGCAGCCAAACCAGTTTGCTTTCTAATTTTCTTTGGCTTTCCACACGCACACACAACGCTGTGTGGCAAGATGGGAAATGTGGCTGTGTGAAGAGATTTCTAATTTCCTGCAAGACACAAACAAAGCCACAAATCACAAAAGAATCTGCTCATCCGTCCGCTGCCACTCTCCTTCGCCAGCCAACTTCATCAAAGTTGGCAAATAGGAGTAACCCAGACATAAACTACGCTTCCAAACTCATTTACATACTCAACCATTCCGATTCAATTCAAAATTCTGGCAGTGCGGGGCACCAAGTTATGGTTTAATAAAAACGAACGAACAATAACCGTAGTCTACTTCGGGGCCCCCATAACTGGAAGGAAGATCTCTCCTAGGCACCTTTCAGCAACTTTTTCAATTCAATTTTGGGCTATCTCTCTCCTAAAAAGGGGAAAAGAAAACAAATACACAGACACAATAAATGCTAAATGCTGAACGTGACACACACATGCCTCAAAAGTGCTGTCATGTGTTCAGTGATGAGCTGGAGAAATGGAGAAATGGAGAAAGGGAGAAGGAGAGACGAGTGGCAGAGAGACTTTGTTGACGCCGTTGACTTTATACGTCAATTTCATCGCCGTCGTGAGGAGTTTTCGTTCCGTTTATGGCAGCCAAGGGAAAATGAGAGAAGGTACTGTGGCAGGCAGGGGATACCACTCCGAACAAACATCAACAGCAGGCGGAGGAGGCTGGGGCTGGTGCTCGGAGGCTTTCACCCCGGCTGTCTTTTCTAGTCACCAGCCTCGGCTCCCATGTCAAGTTGTCGTCGCTGACGACGACGACGACGACAACGGCGTTGTTGTGGCAAAGTCAACCGCATCATCATCATCACCGCCGCCGTCATCTGCCTTTAACAACATTTTCGTTACACTGTTCATCTTGGCTGCTGCTAAATTCTTCGCATCTCTGGGAAAAAGCCATGTACAAAGTGATTTTTCCAGACATTCCTGGAAAATTCTACATCATTTGTTGGCTTTTTATTTACTCAGTTAGTAATCAAAACTTCTGCTGGTCAGTTCTCTTGTCCACTTTGTGACAAAAGGACTTGTTTCGAATGGCTAACTTATCTATCTTTAAACCCTATATCTCATGATGAAATGCAGTCAATGCTGAGAATGCTTTCCCTGCAAACTCCTTTATGTAGAATTAATTTTTCAAATTAATTATGCACATGTGCAGCTGTCCTAGCAAAGGGGCTGGAGTTGTGGGCGTGCCGGGTATATATCTCTGAAGGTAGAGTGGCCTGGGGGCTGCGACAGCAAAGAGAAAACTCATTAAATTGCATAATTATGTGTACACACAAGGCCTGGGCCGTAGACGTGGCACACACAAAAACTTGTGTCGTCTCTTGTAATAATATTAATATTAATAACGTAAAATACTCAAACAAACTTTCGAGTCGAAAATGGTCAAGGCTTTTTGGATTGCTCGACATTCTTGGGCTTCAGTTGTGGGTCTCTCGCTTTGGTCCCTTGGCTGCACTTAATAACATTTCGGTCATGATTCCCTCTGCTCGTCAGGTCGTCATAATTTGATTTATGATGCGGTGGATGCCACTCACACACACAGCCGGGCAACTTTAAAAGATTTCCCACTTGAAGGGTTTCCTCTTGGAAAACTCGTTGCCTTTCCTGGCCCAACTCAAAGTGGCATGCCCTTCTCTCCTTCTCTCTACCTTCTTACTACCTATTTCCAGCAGCGGCAGCAGTGTTGCAGAAATATTTAATTGGCCGAGAACAGAGTTTAGGGGAAAATTATAGCATACTTATGTGGATTCGACACGGCAATTCGGAAAGGGTGGAGCAGAAGGCGACTGCCATATTAATTTGTGTCAAATAAGTAAAACGCAATTAAACGCACATGTCATCGCGTGGCCAAATGGCCAATAACCATGCGGAGAAATGGGGGTAGGCGGGTGGCAAGTGGGTGGCCAGTAGGACAGCCCGCAGCATCCGTTGCCACAAACACACACACACACACACACAGACACACAAACACAATCGATACACAAACAAAGCACCCCAGTCTGCAATAACAGCCATAACCATAACCAGAAAGCAAACGAATTGCCCGGGAATCCCTTAATATGATGACCTATTAAAATTACTCTATGCCATAACCACAGACCTCCACATCCCCCTCATATGCTCCACGCTCCTCTCCTCCAAAGGCAAAGCAATCTTTTTCTATGCCTATTACGGCATTTCTATATGTATTGTATATAGTTTTCTATTCCAGCAGGATTCCCCTTCCCCCTCCGCCGGCCCTCTATTAATGGTAAAATGATATTCTCCGCTAGTCAGTCAGCAATGATAAAGCAATTATTGGCCATCAACGGGGGAGCTGGCATGGAGTCCGAAAGCCAAAATGCTAGCAATGAGTACGTGAGTCGTGAGTGGGTTATGGCTTTGATTGTCACGTGGCTGTCACTTCCACTCACGGAAATCCCCCAATTTAATTTCCAATTACTTGGGCTTATGACCGGCCCCTTTACAATCTGTTGCCTAAGCTCTTCCCTTCAAGCTGGGCAAAGGAGGATTTGCATATTCAGGTATATCGTCCCTCTCATGTCAATTTCCTTTTAATGGCTAGAACTAAACTGCTGGATTAATAAATAAATCTGTGCTAGTAAATTAAACATTTCTATTCAGAGAGCTCAAGGTGCATTCCCCAAAAAGGGTGCCAGAGAAGGCTTTATATGATTAACTTGGATACAGAAATAGAATCAGGAGGGTATATTTTTCTGGGTTATCTCCTTTTTTTGGGGCTGCTGCTTTTGATACCGCCCTTTGACCCGGTCATCAGTTTGGGGCACTCTAATTAAATGTCACTTCGC